CCCTTGGGGGGGGGGGGGGGGAATGTGTACAGCAATCAAACGAAAATATATTTTTTTAATAAAAATCAATAAATGGTCATTTTATAACAGTTATAAGATAAGTAACCAGTGCCTTTAACCAATTACAATTAGTGGAATCTATGAGATATCGCTACCCTCGATATAGTTGATGGTCCGTATATTTAAGTTTAAGGCTAATATTGTAAGAGGCTTACACTATTCAAATTTAAATATCGTACTGGCCGCTTCTGATTGCAAGTCTTACCAAATCTACCGGTCGCCACTATGAAATAGTCGATCTTATAAGGTAATATTTAATCCACTTTAGTTTTCTGTATTAGCGCTCTGCGGAGGTGACAGTGATTAGAATTTTTAACAAAAAACGTTGGCAGGCACACACATTTTGAAAGAGTTCTTTCAGCTTATTTCTTTTCAAGGAATTCAGTAGCTACGAAATTTGATTGGTGAACAAATGGCAAATTACTTATCTCCATTAAAATATCTTCACTGATATCAGCGGGATACTGATCTGCCAGAAAATTGTAATATTTCTTCCAGTTCGTCTTGAGGAATTGATAATTACTTCCAGAGGAAGCTGAACTTCTAAGATATTACTGCAGCATTGAAACAAACAGTGGGACCACCAATAACATTATCCAAAATTACATAGAAGACACCATTTCTGAAATATGCTTTCCTGAGGGGATTCATCCATATTATTTTGTTTAGTCACATCTGCCTCTAAATTACAATCATCCTGGAACCTCTTTCTTTTGAGTGTTGCTTCACACCAAGTTCCAGAGAGTTTCACTTCTGTGCACAAATTAGAAGCAACCTGCTTAGCTTGGCTTCAAAAAAATTTTTAAACCTGTTTCGAAAATTTGTCAGCTCTGAATTCAAGCCTTTTAAATTGGACACTTGGACATGTAGCGTTCATTTCTGTACTTAATAACAGCTAAAAATCATGATGTAACCGCATGTTGAACAAAAGAATTGCTTCGAGACTGGTGGCTGTAAATGAACCTTAGGTAGCGTCAGGTGTAAATTTCGCCAACGCATGTGAAAGCTAGACAACCATTATAGCGACAATTTACATTTAGGCCCTATATATATATATATATATATTCACATATGTATACATATATATGTGATTACGTGTGGGTGTTCATAAGCGACTTGTCAAACACTGAACATGTGCATTGTGCATGCAGATGTAAGTGAGCTGCGTGCAGAATATTTAAGCGGAATAAATGCTTGTTTAGTTTCATAATTTTTCTGTGGTTACTATACATATTCATAGGCCTACATGTTAACGCATTCACGTTCTGTTTATTTTCTCACTATAGTAACAACCATTCCAGACGACCAACACACATTTATACGGGAAAAATAACAAACATTCAATAGTCTAAAGCATTTGTAGGGTTTTTTTTAAAGTGATATTTTGTAAAGACGCAGTATTCATTTTACAAAACTGAGTCTGAATCATTTCCTCGGCTTGCAAAAAAGAGCACCTGCCGGATAGGGATAATGCCAGTACCAGTACTTAATTTTATTCATTTTTTTTTTTTAAACCTATGGTACTGATACTGTCCATTGTCCTAAAAGGCTGAACTTGTCGATGGAGATTTGCTCCGCGTGACAATGTATGATACCGTAACAGTATTAAAATGATGATATCAACAAACAAAAAACTGACATTAAATTATGTTTAAACTTAAAACCAATCTTGGCGGAAGTGAAACGATTAAATGATTAAACACATTGAGATGACTGAGCGTTAGGTAGACTAAATGAATTTTGTAAAACTAAAACAAGATTAAGACGTTGTTTGCTAAAGAACATCAAGAGATATTAAGCAGATACAATTCAAAGCTATCATTAGGGGTTGTCCATAAAGGAAGTTCTAAAAAAATAAACACCCCCCTCCCCCCTTTCTTTTTTGTCCGTTGTGGCTTATCCCCACCGCCACTCCTCACCCTGGGGTTGCGGATTCCGCAGGCGCATAAGTAAATTTACAGTGCGAATTGCCAGGTAGTATATACACATTATAAAAGCAAAGAGTCACTAGATTTGAACTTCTAAATCAGTATGATATGGGTCCATCCACTGATTACGTACGCGCTGAGGGGAGTGAGGGTGTTGATTTTGAAGATTATGCGTACTGGTGCGTAGGACGTGAGATTGTCTGCAGAAAGAATTTACATTTAATAATTATCCTGAAATTCTGTCACTATCTAAACGTCATCTGTGAAACCCATGATATATAATTATTTTTTAAAGTTTTAAAATGAATCGTCACAATGTTTTGGTTTACCGTCCTGCTGTTGCTTTGTGTGACGTAATTTGTGACAAAATTTTTTCTTTGGACTTATCCAAACAGTTGCACTTTAGGGTGGGGGGGGGGCGACCTACGACATCATTTTAAGACGCTCGTCACAGTGCTTCCCAATTTTAGACTTTGACGCTACCTACTTGTTGGAGAAGAGACGTTCAAACCTGAAATACATGAAATCAGCCTACGACGACAATCCAGGCTCTCCATGATGTACAAGATAAATAATGGGCTGGTCCACTGTTCCAGCATTAAACAAAAACTCGCCCCTCTCCCCCATAGACAGCGACGAGGCCATGACAGGCAATTCAGGCTGATACCAGCAAGAAGCCAGTATAGGAGCTGCTCATTCCTGCCCAAGACAATCAGGGACTGGAACAGGCTTTCAAAAGGAACAGATGAGGCGGCAACACTAGACACATTTGTGTCTATTGCCTCAAGCCTTCAAACCCCTGGTGCATGATTTCCTCATCAACACCAGTAACAGAAACATTGCAAATCCCATCTACATGCATAGGAGCCAAAATGATCAATAAATTGATCGTGGGCCCTTAAGATATAGAAGAAGAAGAAGAAGAAATGTCCTTATATCTTTGTCAGAAAAGCGTCAATCTTTTAAATACTAATGACAGTAATAGTGAGTGCATACTATTGAAAAGGTTGGGAAACTCTGGTTTCAATTAAAACTTTAGACACTGGTTTTGCAATGGCGAAACGACAGCAGCAGTAATAGCAGAGTCAGAGATTGATAAGATATAACGATTTTTTGTTTGCTTTATTGTTCGAGAAAAGCAGAAGGGATCGGATTATTTTAACATATATTGGAGCTAACTAAAGCAATTTGAATTAAACCTTCTATTATTATGTGTGTTCATTTTTCACTTTAATATTTACTTTTACTTTCTAAAATATAGTATAGTATAGTTTATGTCAAATAGTATAATTATAATAGTATTTTAAATTTATTTAGTTAATAGTATTTTAAATTTTTTATCATATACTAAGTTATAGTACTATTAGTATCAAAAGAATATGTGAATGAACTAAATCTGAATATCATTTTAAAATTACATTTTTTTTTAACATTCTCATTCATACGAATACTTCGTACATACTATAATATTATGAACTATTAATTATCACACAAACAGATTCATTAAATAGAAATTTAATAAACAAATAAAAACGTATTTTTAAAAGAAAAATAATATCAATTTTTATACAGTTTTTATTTTTAAATATATTCGATATTCAATTCTGAAGTGTAAGAAATAGGAATATGTTTTTGTGCCGCACAGCTTTTGCTGCGTTATCACCATAATCATGACGGTGACGTCACATTGATATTATTGCAGTACAAATGTTTCTTGTTTCTGTGTAGAGAGTGGGAGTGATTTCATACCATACTTCGTGAGGTTCTGTGTTCAAATGATTTTAGCACATTAGATCGAATTCTTAAGACTATCAGAATGTCGTTTGCCGGTTTGAAGAAACAGTTTAATAAAGCCAACCAGGTAATTTAATTATAAATGAATAAATGTTATATACTATACACTGATAACTTCGTCGTCGAGTCGAACGGATCTTCCTTATTTATACAGTCTTATATAGTATTATATAGCGTTCATCAAGTCTTGTCTTCAGTGGAACGTCAATTGTCAATAGGGCCCACTCTACGATTTAGACTTTAGATTTAGCCTGGCTACTCTTAGACTTGACTAAGATACCAAGTACTAAATTAACGAAGTCTAAATTATAAATATATCATGTCTGAGTCTGTCAATACATGTAATGTAACACTGAATAGGAAGAGTATAATTAGTAGGGGTGTGCCGGATCCGTTTTTTCCAACCGGATCCGGATTTTCTTATGCGAAATCCTCCGGATTCCGGAATAATCCGGATTCCAGTTTCTCCCGGATTTTGGTACTATTGGTAGATACTTCGGTAAGTCAAGGTGGACTACTACTTTTTGTGAATGGGAATTCGCAATCGGCGCCAAAAAATCCGAGTTTTTAATTTTCCGATGTGTGTGTCTATTTATTATTAAATTAGTACTTTCGATATATATTTGAGTTCCGTTCCATTTGGATATGTATCTTACGAGAGACGCCATGTTTCTACGCGTTCGCAGCAGGTCATGCAGCTCGCTCAACCTAATTTCGCCATGGGGTTGGCCACGCCCCCCTTTTTAATGGCGGAAGTTGACGATACTTAGGAAATATTAATTTATTATCACTATTTACATCAAAATAATTGATAACTTGTGTTTCAGAATGCATTTAAAGACATTTAAACTGGAATGTTTTAATTTGAGCTTTAACAACCCGGTAGAATCCATATTATAAATGATCAGAATTTACCGTGTGCAACACGTTGTCATTGGCAACCATTCACAGCCACTTGCATAACTGTATCGTAGTACTACCTCAGAGTTTCATTCATAAGAGTTTGCCGTGTGCAAAAACTATTAAACCATTGGTCAGGGAAAGCTTTAATTAATTATTCATGTGCCAAAGTTGAAAGTTTAAACTAAGTCTAAACAGTATTTTAGTGATAAGGCAGGGAATGCGTTGCCTTATATAAACTATATAGTCATTGCGCATGACGGGATTGGCGGAATGAGATCACAGAATGTGGAGATGCAGTCCATGTTAAAAAATGACAAACCAAGTCGTACTTTAAAAATTCATAACTTTAAAACTACAACAGCTAAAAATATGATTTTGGTGTTATAATTCTTTAAAAAATTACATCTTTTCAACTATGCCATTGGTTTATTTTTACAAAAAGTTTAAATTTTCTTATCAAAGTCCCTACACTATTGGCCACTATTAGCGGTGCTGACTCTAGCCTCTGGTATGTACGGAATATTAAACATTAAACAAGCTCAACGCTCGAAACAATCGATTAATGTATCGTGATCGTGTGGAATTCGGGAAAGAGAATTACTTTTATTTCAGATTATGATCCGGTGAGTCACAAAATCTGGCAAATTCCGAAATCCGGTATATTCCGGATTCCGGAATCCGGTTGTTCCGGATACATGTAAATCCGGCGGAACCGGATTTCACCGGATAGTGCAAAATCCGGCGGAACCGGATTCCGGACAGGACTCCGGCACACCCCTAATAATTAGTAGTCTTTTATTTTTATATTGCTACATTATTATAATTATAACAAATTATAGTTTATAGTAGAAGTAGAAGTTGGTGTTAGAGTAGAAGTCTGTAGAAGTAGTATTCTCACACTTGAAATTATGTATTCTTATACCTGCCTTTTTTAGGAGGCTATAAGTAGGTATTTCGGTAAGATCCGGGAAGTGCCGAAAACCGGGTATCGTGATTTCGTTGTCAAAATGGCGACCTCCACTTTTTAATTTACTGAGAGTCACGTTGTTTACGACTTTTTAACTATATATAGCCCAGCATGTTAATTCTATTTCCGCCCACAACTTAGAGTAGACATGTTGTGTTATGATTAGACACTTGAGTCCCCCCAAAAAATTTTGGGGCTTCACTTTGAAAATTGAATGTAAAATAACGCAATTTTTACTCATTCATATTTTTTTTGTGGAAAAGAACCTTTCATAGAATTTCAAGGACTTTATAAATAATGGCATTAACTACAACATATCCAAGACTGTTAATTTAGGACCATCAGTTTGGTCAGAAATTTCCTGGGAAATTTTAATCACGTGTGTCCCAAAATTACCTTATTATCGTTAATATTCGTTGCTATGGTAAATAACCTGATTTACTCTGGAAATCCAGACTATTACCCCCTAATAACTTATTTAGAAATAAAAATAAAATAATTAATAAAACAAACACATATTTTTAATATGATTTGATGCTTTTATTGAGGGATATTAGGTTAAAAAAGCCTAATTAATTACAATTAATAGTTAACTATTAGTTTTATATACTGTTGTTATATGTATACTATTAACTATATATATACATATAATATATATACATATATAATTATATATATGTGTGTATGTATATATAGAGGCCTAGAATAGTATTACTATTATAAGTGTAGGCCTATCCACCTCCCCCCTCCCCACCAAATAGTTTTTTGTAGGACCCATTATTCATATGTAATGATATATATGGTGATTCTTAAGGCATAAATTAAGTAAAAGTGTACAAAAAATATTCACTTACCTTTGGTATTGAAATATCCTATATTATATTTAATCACATATCACACTATTCCAAAAGAGAATTATCAGTATTCTCAAAGAAAAAAACACACTTTCTACCACAAAAATCCAAGAATTACATGAGATATTACTAAAATTTAATAATAAAACATTGTAATTACCTCAAGCAAATAACTAGAACTTATTTAAAATTCTATCAACAGCTAAAGTTGATTCTAATAATAAATGTTGATCTGTGAAACAACTGTACTAACTTAAAATAAATGACATACTATTTTTTGTCATATTCACACATTCATATGGTATGGGACTAAAATACATTATATAGAAAATGGTAAAATAAAAAGTTTAATTGTCAATTTTAACTTATTGAAACAAATAATCCCTTTATTATTAGTATATACTTATAAATTTTAAACAATTCCACAGAAAATTTGAAATTAATATCTTAAGAATATTTTATTATTATTATGAATTTTGGGAAATTGAAAAAAAATATTTATACATAATTAATTAATTAATTACGAATAAGTGACGAGTCAGCATATTTTATATATTTTTAATAGGAAAATAATAAAGATTTTTAAAATAATTTTTGCGGAATATTAACAAAAACTAACTTATATTTTGTGGTTTTATTTAGAAGTACTCTAATTAAAATATGTTCCCTGTAAATATTATATTTTTGTGTCATTTTATAATAAAGTTATAGGCCTTAAAAAAAAATCAAAATGAGGGTCACGAAATGTGGAGGAAAATTCCATAGTAAAAAAGTGCCTTTGAGGTCCCTACTAAAAAATTCATAACTTTTGAACCACTTGAGCTAGAAAGTTGATCTTGGTGTTTTTGTAATCTATTCTCCAGGCTCTATACGGCTGTAGTGTTTTTATATTTTTAAAAATGTTTTGAAATTTTAATCAAAGTGCCTACTATAAGGGCTATACTATATTTTATATGTCAAAATATAGGCAGCAAAATATATTATAATTTACAATAGGCTAATTAATATAGGCTAATATCCAATTTTTAAGAGAAGTCATAGAATTGATACATAAAAATAAATATTTATAAATATTTCAACAAATTTAGGCCTTCATTACAATTATATAATATAGCCAATAAAATTGGTAAATAGCATTAGCCTTGCCTTAGACTAGAAGTTAGACTAGGGACTTGTATTTTAAAATTAAAATGTTCCACAGGGCGGCACAGGTGAACTGTCATTTCTGGCACTTTGAAATACACATCAACAGCTTAAGATTTAAGTCTAAAATCGATTCCTGTCATTGTAGCCTACCGATTCATTTTAAGTTAATGTTAATGGTCAAATGGTCAAACAATATGACAATATTAAAATTTTGCTTGAACTCAATGAACCAAAATGTATGCAGCTTTAAACGTTAAAATTTCTTGAGTAGGGCTTACTCCTTCATTTAATAGGTGTGAGAATCACTGATAATGTTCTTGTTTTATTTCTCTGTTATTAATGCAAAAAAAATTGTTTGCTTTTTTAATTAATAAGCTGTAACACCACTTTAAATTTGAGCTTTATATCCTTATCATTCAAGTTAAGATTATTTTTTCACATTAAAACTGCACGTTTTTTAAAATTTATATAAGAAAAAAATAGTTTCTTACATTTAAAATAATATTTAAATAAGAAAATGCTATTCTAAAGCATATTTTATACTTTCATTATATTAATATATAATATCTTCAACAAATCCTGTACATATGATATTTTTAAATCAATATATATATGGGTGAAAGTGATGAACTGAAAAATTGGTTACAAAATGTGGTGGAGAACTCAATGGTAAAAAAAAGTGACTTAAGGTCCAGACTAAAAAATTCATAACTATTGAACCACTTTGAAGTCTAAAAGTAAAGACTAAAGACACACATAAAAATGTATATTTAATGACCTCATGAAAAGCTTTTGTACTGCCATTATTTAATTGCTATACCCTTATTTGCTAATATTTATTTCAATACTTTAAAAAATATTTATAGTATTTTTTTTAATGTTTTGCATTAATTTGATTAGGCCTATCATTATTGTGAAATAATTATCCCTACAGACATTCATAAATATTCACTAAATAAATGACTTTTACTTTTTGTAATAAGTTTTATAAGTGGCAATTTTAAATAGTTCTTTCAATTTGACCCTTCAAAATAATAATTAGTAATTATGACATATTCTCAATTATAGACCTAATGATAATCTACTAAGTTTTATTCAGATGAATTGTAAAGATGATGGAGCATTGTAAATTTCTTAACTATAATATCATTAATAACGAAAGAGAGGGAAAAGCACTTCTGGCATGCCTTTTAAAAACATGGCTGACTTCTTGTTGTTTTTTCATAAAGGAATCCACTCTAAGTCATTGATGATGAAATCCGTCTATTTATAAACTGTCATGGGGAAAAGGAAAATAACACGAAAATTCACATGCCACACAACCATCTAGAATCTAGGTCATTTTTCCAACCTGTGCGGAATGATGCGCTGAAGTATGGAAGTACCTACTATGAGTTCATATTTTAACTAGCCTAATTCAATTGATAGCTGCAGTTCATGCTACCAATGCATCCCTAAAGTCTAAAACCTAGAATAATCTACTAAATCAAGTTATTAACAAGGCATAATTATATACTTATAATAACCAATTAATCTATTGGCTATTCTAAATTTAATATATATTTCTAAGTTCTAGTATCAACTAGTCCCAATGCCAATGCCTTAAGCTTAATTGTCACATCTCTTGTTTTTAGCATAAACTATCTTCTATATCATCTCTTTTTTCTAAGCAAATCATCTATTGTTTTTGAAAGCTAGTTTTAGTCTTGTTACTGTTTTTACAAGGATTTCCATTTGTTATGCACAGCAAGATTATAATCACATAATATTGTATTAGATCATTAGGGGTGGTTGAAAGTTTATGTATTTTAGAACTGACAAAGCTACTCTCTCCACTTACATTTTGATACCCACAGTTTTTATCAGTACTTGGCCTCTGTGCAGCCTGTGGTATTTATTTACCACCCGTAAAGCATGTGCTTGGAAAACATATATTTATTACTAGTGTCCAGATTGGATTAATGCAATTTGCACCTACACAAACGTGTTTATTGATAATTATAGTAGAATACAGGCCTGCAAAGACACAGTAACTTAGCATTTCATTTTAATTTGCACTCATCTATTTTAAAAAGACAAAGATTCCAGTCCCCCCCACCACTTCTTCTTGTGAACTAACATCAATCCAGCATGCTGTATGGTTTGGCACGTTGTGAAGTGACTATGAATGACTACCTTTTTTATACATTATACTGTATTTTATAAATCTTTACAGTCTTTTATTCAACAAATAATGTTTTTAAAATTTTTGCAATATTTTAAGATTTGGTAAAAATCTGGTTATAGTTGAACATTCTTAATTTTAATTATGAATTATTTAAGTTTTAAAATATTTCAATGTTAATTCACATATTTCATTTAATGATATAATACAAATTAATTTTTGGTATGAATTAATTGCAAACTTAATAATTTAACTTTCTTTTAAATATGGGCTCATTCTTTTATATCATCACTTTGACCAACTTGTCTCTATACATTAAGTTGTTAAACGTTATAGTTTTGTTTTTTCCTAAGATAACCCTTACACAATTTTTATTAAATATTATTTTGTTAAGCATCAGACTCTTATCATTTACAAAAACTAATAATTCAAATCAGATTGGCTAGTTAAGTGTTCTTTTATTTCACCATACTGCATAATAATTATCCGAGCCAATTAAAAATTAAGATAGTTTTCTCACTAATCTTATTCTCTATCAGTTTTCATGATCTGCATCTATTCTATTTTTAAACTGTTAAAATTTAAAGCTAAGGTGACCAAATTTGGATTAGAAAGTTTGTTGATATTGCAGAACGGAGGTGACATAAAATATTTTTAGTTCTAGAAATGAATGTCAAGAGACTGTAATGTAGCAAAGCTTGTTCGTTTCTGTGTCTTAATTAATTTCACTTTAAGTTAGACAACTTTACTATTTAAAGCAAACTGTTATTAAAACAAATGGCTTTCTCTCCTGTATTCCTATATTTAAAGCAAACTGTTATTGGTGGCTTTAAAACAAATGACTTTCTCTCCTGTATTCCTATATTTAAAGCAAACTGTTATTGGTGGCTTTAAAACAAATGACTTTCTCTCCTGTATTCCTATATTTAAAGCAAACTGTTATTGGTGGCTTTAAAACAAATGACTTTCTCTCCTGTATTCCTATATTTAAAGCAAAATGTGTGCAGTTGGGCTGATGCTGCTTCCATTTTCATTTCAGTATATGAGTGAAAAGATTGGAGGTGCTAAGGGAACAGAGCTTGATGATGAATTTGTTGAAATGGAGAGGGTAAGAATACACATTCTTCAACCATTTAACTGTCTTAAATTTAATCACCTGCTTCATTCTCTTTAGGTAGCCCTCTTACACTTGTTTACTTATTTATTATGGAATTCATACAATATGTTATTGTCTGTTTTTTAAGTGTTTTCTCCATTCATTTTATTTTCTTGAGTTAGTTTTATTACTGTTGTTCATTTTAATTTCAAGGAAGAAAGGAAAGCATTGTAACATTGAGGCTGTTGTGTTTGAAGACTATAAGCCTGTTAGCAGAAATGGTTTTATTATCCTATCCTGAAGGTTTATTTTTATGAATATGAAATTCTTTTAGTTCCTGTCCTCCACCCATTTTACATTCCCCACCCCAACCACATTGATCACTTTAAGTGTTTGTTTTTGTGCATTGTTTATGGTAAGCAGTCTAATATATTTTGTTGTTTAAGTTAAGTAAGACGAATGATGACTTTTTTCTTGTGGGTATTTAAGTGAAAACAATTATTAAATTCCCTGTGAGTCATTACGGTAGTCCGGTAGTCTACATATTCGTGAAGCTCATTTTTTTTTTTTTGTCATTTGTTCCCATACACCTTATCTATAAGTTACTTTCTTGCATGCATTCTTCCATTCTTTGGACCACATCTGTCAATGGCGCTCTTTATTGTCATTACAAATAAATTCGTGAACACTCCCCCCGCCCCCTTTTCCCCCCAGTAAAACCTAAAATTTTCAGCGCTGAAAAGTTTTCAGTTTTCAGCGTTTTAATATTGTTGGACATCCACAACACCTGTATTCAGTATTCAGCCTATTTTTTGTTTTGCATTATTAGCAAAAAATGGACATGTTATATAAATGGGTTTAAAATTGTTTGAGTGGGGTGGGGGGGGGGTGCAATATTTCCATCTTATTTTTTTTTTGTGTGTGGAAAATAAAAACTTTGTACGGGTGCAGCAGTTCACGGCAATTTGTTACGAAGTTAAAACTATCTGACAAGAATGACCCATTTACACCTGGTGATATGCAAGCACCTGGTTGAAAATGCAAGCTGGAGTGTTGGCTGTATGGTTTCTTCTCCAGCAGTTGTTCCCTGTCACTATCCATGATTAATTAATTCAACACCTCTGCACTAGGCTTATTGCATCCCGCGACCATATGTTGGGAATGGCACGACTATGACAACACCACGACCAGCTTCAGCGAATCATTTATAAGTGTGCCTCAAATGGACAGAGTGGGCAGTTGCTTACTAATGAGCTGAAGTACCGTCTCCGGTTTCTTATTCACAGTGCGATGTATATCTGTAGTGGCCCAAGTTAAACTCGGCATAATTAGAACCTCGACTGAACTTGTCAAAATCGTGAACCCCGACAGAGTTATATATAGTCATTCATTTCTCCCAGCTGGTCGCTTGCTTCGTAATTGACCGTATATTTAACTGATGAATGTAAGGTTCTCGTCAGGTGATAATTTACTGTATATGCTTTCTAGGCACTCGCATTTAATTGAGTTCGGATGTTAACTATTCGCAAGCCGGAGTTCAATATAGATAATTTACGTTAACTTCTGCAAAAAAAAATTTTTGGTTCCCCCCTCCTTTGCCAAGATGGAAAAGAAAACCTATATTTCCAAAGCTAACTTTCTGGAACTGTTTATTTCCGTGTAGCCTGTGTACTTTATAATTATTGTAAAATCCTGTTCAACAATTAAGTTTCAGACTGATATCACCCACACCTTTTACATATCCTTCTTATTGACATACGCACCGTGTACTTTGTGATTTATTTTCTTCCTTTTGCGAGCGTTGTCGCATTAAGGACGTTACCTTATACTACAGAACGCAGTGGATTATGTTATGTGGATCATGATCCAAGAGGTGCTTATGTGGTGTGTACAGCGAAGAAATGGACGGCTGAAGTCACGGATGGCGGCTTGCCGTCATGCCCTAGATTCCCAATTAAGCACAGCCACAGACTATAACAATATGACATGACGCGTTCGTGGTAGATTATGAAACAATCTCTGCGCCGAATAGAGATAAAAATCCATGTCTGGTCCAGGGATATGTGGGATGACATGAGCCCCTCTTAATTTGTGTGTAACAAAAATTACATAAATATAAAAATGCGGCTTCATTATTTTTTTTATATTAATGTTAAATATCACGTGGCCCACTTCGTTTTTTAGTGCATTGGTCTCATATTTGAATCTACCTCTGGTGTTAATACTGCTCAATGATAATATTGTGAATGTTAAATTAAATTATAATTTAATCACCTTTTTTTAAAAAAAAAAAAAAAAAAAGCACTGATTCCTGGCACACACCATTTTTTGAAGTCAATTAGGGTTGTAAAAGATCTAATGTTCAACTTAGTAATCCGGTATGAACATGCACTTCCAATGTGCCGTTGCAAAACAAAACAGTATTGTAGATACTTGTATGACACCTTGCATTGCAGTTTTATATTTTTGGACGCATAATAGAGAACACACAGTGGCTTAATGATGACTGTAGTTCGTTATGATATTATGAATGGTGGTTACAGAATGTTTTTGTTTAATGTTTTGTTATTCCTTACTTAATCGTGTGTGTTTCCTTTATTATAACTATAATGTTTATAGCTCCTGTATTGCTGAAATATCAGACTGTAGTAGTACTATATTTCAAACAATGTAAATGGAACTAATAAAGTTTAAATTAACCCTTAGATACTCATTGCTATTGGAACACGGCTTCGGACATTAGGTTCAACCAGAAATGGCATATTGATACATAATAAAGTACCCATCGCAGAGCCAACGTTTTTTTTTTCCCATATAGTTTTACGCGTCTCCATGCGTGGTGGGTGTATTTGTTTTGCGTGCAGTGTTAAGAATGTGCGGTCCTCATTGATTTTTATTTGGTGGACCGGTTCCTTACCGTAGCCTTGATTGATTTTTGAATGTTTGTAGCTTTAAAACAGCTTGCCACACCGTTGACAACCCATCGAGGATTGGCATCCCTGTCGTGTCTTTTCAATGGCCCCCCACTTGTTTCACGCACCCGCATCTGTTCAGCCATCGAAGAATTAGGCCATTGTTAGTAAGCGCACAAGGATGGATATTGCCCTGAAGTTTTACACAAACAATTGTTTGGTTTTGATGGCGGGTGCAATGATAAGCTCGTTGTATGAAACACGAAGTCTGGGCGTGAAGAATCTGAAATCCACGGTCTCTTCCACAGTATTTCTTAGTCACGTTTGTCGCAAAGATGATTATTTTTCCGGGTTTCTCTAGGGCAGGGGCTCTTAAACATTTTTTTTCCCCATGGGCCCCATTGCCAGTCACTATAAAGGCCACGGAATTCTTCTTAGAATAAAGTGTTTTAATGCGCATAAGTAAATTACAAATAGGAAAGGAATAATAAAAAAAAAAAAAAGGATGGTCAAACCTGAAAAAAGAAACGCAACAAAACAACGAACGTGTCGACAGGAAGCCTTCCGAGAGGCATAACCGAACTGCACTTGGTTAACTTTGGGTGCTCCTTCTCAGCGAAGTGCTATTTTTTACATTTAATTCTGATTTTTTTTTCTTTCTTGTTTGTTCGCTGACGAAGCTTCCTGCCGACACGTTCGTTTTTTTTTGTTTTTTTTTTTTTTGCGTTCCTTTTTTTCAGGTTTGACCATACTTTGTTTTACTTGCCTCATTTCCTTTTTTGTCAACCTGATTGTTTTTTTTTCTTTCTTGTTTGTTCGCTGACGAAGTTTCCTGCCGACACGTTCGTTTTTTTTTGTTTTTTTTTTTTTTGCGTTCCTTTTTTTCAGGTTTGACCATACTTTGTTTTACTCGACTCATTTCCTATTTTGTCAACCTGATTGCATTCTCTCCTCTCCGCTTATTACCATAATTAAATTACAAAGGAAAACCTTTTCGCGGACGCTAAAGGGGTCTGTGGATCACAAGTTAAGAACCTCTGCAGAGTTTGGTCCTTTTAGCCTTGGTCCGGGAGGGGGGGGGGGGTTGGGGGTGTCGTCAACTTCATGTAAATTTAAACTCCGGTACTGCGGTGCTCTTTGTTGTTCACTGTTGCCTAGGCCAGCATGTCTCAATGTGGGATGTATGCCGCAGTTCTCAGGGCCTGAATCCTTGGTTTTGTTTTTAACTACATCAGCGTTGGGCCCCGGAAGTTTAATCATTAATTTGAGTGCGTCTTAAGATTAAAGGGTTGAAACCCCCTGAACTACGTGTACATTTAAAGTCAATGCACGTTTGCTTCATTTGAAGAGGACCATCAATCACCCAATGAATGGTTGATGCATCAGCCGTTATTTTTTCTAAATTAACATAGCGTCCAAGTAAACGTTGGCAGCCCTCGTCTTGTCAAGATGATGTCATTTCAGTTCAGTTGGTAGTTGGGCTGTGGAGAGCGATTTAACATTAAAAAAATCTAATAACAAATGCAAATTGACCGCGAATAGTGACGTTACTAGGGTTGATAAACTGGGGGTTGTTGGGGGGGGGGTAAGCTGAATGTCATAGTTAAATGTATATTATTGGTTTTGAAGATTGCCGTGTAGTATATGTTTTTAAGACCACTTCCACTTTTTAACACGCTTTTTATTTAAGTCGTGACGATAAATTGACGCAGCGGGGCTGTCTATGTATGTGAAGCATTACACGACCTCTAACTGTATCTGTCGATGTCTAGTCGGTATACATTTATCAATGCTCTATGGGCTGGAAAACCAACACGACCCCCTCGACCAATGCTCGGACCTATCACCAACACGTGTCGCCTAAGTAGGTCGATATACCGATCGAACTGCACTTGGTTAGCTTCCTACGCCCGTTCTCGCCCCCCACCCTCCCCACTGGTTATTTCTCAAGACAACGATTCTCACCTATATATTGGAAATCTTTTTTCTCCTTTCTCCGTTCGATGACTTTTTACCTCTCTTCTTTTTCTTTCTCCATTCGACGACTTGCCGAGTACAATCAAAGCCCGATTTGGAGAGAACTTGGACGTTACAAGCATTTAGTCAACAGCGTCGAATTCTTGTCTTTAAACAACAAAAAAAATTTACGGTGGTGGGGATAGTAACTAACTGTAACTCTTACGGAATAGGTGTCAGTTTTTAGGAAAGCCACTTTAATTTTTAAGCAGTGGTTGTGGATCCAAGATTGTTTTTAAGAAATAAAAGATAATCCTTTGGTCTCTTGTCATGTGCCAGAAGATTGCACGTTTGTGGGTATTAACTTCCCTTGTCCTTCCACCCAACGGTGAGAGGGGGTGTGTGTGCGTGTCATAAGAGGATGGGTCTCAGATTGTGTTCCAGAGAAGTGGGTGTTTTGAATTGTGAATTGGTTTCATGTTCAGGGACACATTCTTTAACAAGAGATATAGAAACCATCGCCTCAAGTGTTCCTCAAGGAGTTATTGATATTCCATTAATAGATTTGATGTTTAAAATATTTTGTTCGGACCGCCTCCACAATAAAAGTTGATATTTTAAAAAAACAATAATTACGAGAAGTGATAAGTCAGCTCTTATTGCATTGTTTGAGCTTGCCTGGAAACTGTCAACATTGGAAATCAGGGAAGGTAAACTTGGGGCCATTTCCACATTTGTTTATTAGCTCTGTTTTGTTTGCCTGTGATTTCAACAAAGGGCCTTTTTCCCTCCTCACACATTTGGTCATTAGTCCTACATACTGTTCTAATTTAGGCTAAGGGAGGTCAACATTAGGAAGATTATTTGTAGCAGGTTTCAATGAGGTAGTTGAGATTAGATAAACGCATATCTTATCTGAGATTGTATCAACATGCATTGGCAAAACAAAAATATGCCCTTATTTTGTTTACATTTACAATTTTGTTTAAAATTTTGTTTAGATTTAGCCTGTCTGAAGTGTAAATATTAGGTGATTCATACTTTTGGTTCATAATATATTTATCATGACTAGTTAAATTAATTACCTAATTAATGAATTATCTTTTTTTCAAATGAAAAGGTCCCTTCACATGATTTTTTTGGGTGCAATTTAAAGGTTTTTTTTTGTCGGTTTCACTTTTTCAGCGCATTGATGTGCTGGGAAAATTGGTGGATGACCTTATTAACAAAACACATGAATTCCTGCAACCCAATCCAGGTACAAACTTGGATAATAGAATTTTATTTTGTTTAATTAAATTGCTATAATTTTTATATCTGGCCACTATAACCATAAGCACTGGCCACTATAACTGTAAGCACTTTCCCTGAATCTGGTTTTATGTTTTATTTTAGTTCATAGCATCTAACTTACGTAAACCAGGGTTTACCTGTAAAGTTGCATTATGCTGTTATGAGTTTTATTATATTTTAGAATACTGACAATTAAGGATGGGAGTGCTTGAAATTGTGTATGAAAACTTTTTTAAGACTCTGAAAGTAAAAAAAAAAAAAAATCAAATTTTTTATTAAATTTAACTATTTTAAGAAAATTATGCTTAAAAACAAATTTTAAAAAAAAATTATTGAAAATATATAAGCTTCAAGAGCAAAGATGTCCACACGCAATGCAATCTCTAAGTTGCGTGGCCAAGAACAGAAGATATTATACCCACAACCAGAGGGAACACTTGGTGATTACATGATCAAACATGGAACTGACTTGGGAGACGATTCTACTTTTGGTCAGTATATTTTGCTATGCTTTAAACATTTAATAAATGATAATAATTGAGATATATTTACAAATCTAAGGTTTTGATTTGATATGTTATCACTATTTATTATTTAGTAAATTTTGTCCTGAATTTCCAAGTTGGAGACTAAAACTATCTTTAACCAAGATGTTGCAATAGATTTATTCACTACTGGTATTCATTTAAGCCCACTCCATTGTTATGCACAAGTGCTAGACCTTCACCCCTATGACCCCCAATGTAGTATGTATTGTGACAGATGTTACCCAAGTCACCATATTATTTTACACAGAGACAAATTCACTGATATATTTTTTATTAGAAGTTTTAAAAGAAAAGGAAATCAATGCTATAATTTAAAATTCATTATTTGTTTTTTGTTTTTTTAATTAACAGGTGGTTGTCTTATTGAAGCTGGAGAGTCATTTAAACACTTGGCTGAAATCAAATATAATCTTGAGGACAATGTCAAGCAAAACTTTTTAGAGCCCTTAAATCAGCTGCAAAATAAAGACCTTAAAGAAGTTAATGTAAGATATTTTATAATTGAATACAAATTTCTCTTTTGACTAATTTTAATGATAAGCACTATTTTTAAACTTGAACTACAGGGAATAAGACACATTTGTGCAGTGTTTTCATTTGTTTCTATATTAATATAAACTTTTAAAATTTTTAATTACTAAGCAGTCCTCCCCGTATTTCTCCAATTACTAAACAGGAGGATTCACATCCCTGTCTGATGCAAACATTTTTCTTTTCAGCATCATCGAAAAAAATTATCAGGTAGAAGACTGGATTTCGATTGCAAGAGGAGAAAGAAAGAAAAAGGTATGTAGAAGATCATGGATGAAAAATCACTTGAATAAATGTGTGTTTGCATATCTTTGTGTTTTCCATATTACATTATTTTCAACCTTCTTAAATTATTTTTTATGTGTGAATGTCAGAATGTATTTGATGGGATCTTTTAACTATATTGTAACTTAGTTTTTTAAATGTTGTTTTCATATTATTGTTCTCAAAGCTGTACTGTTTTTTTTTCCAAAGCCAAAGTGACATTCCACTGTTGCATTTTATAGTGCATGTCTTAAAAATATCAGTTTAAAATTAATTTACATTTACAAATTTTAACATCAATTCCTTTTTAACACTTTTATTGTGTGATTATTTAATACAAGTGTTTATTGGTGATATATTTACCATTTATACTATTGTTCCTACTGCTTACTTTACACAGTAAAGATCCCCTTAGAATTTGTAAATTCTTAAATTATTTTGAACTTGTTTGTAGTCACCATTGTAAAATGTAAGCAATCCCACTATTTTGAAATAAAAATGAGAAAATAAATATAATATATTTTTGTCTTATGTGATTAATTTTAGTTTTACTATGTGCTAAAAACAGCCAGTCACCCTTTATTTTGACAAATTAAGTACCCTCTATGAAGTTAAAAAATAAATTTTATCATTACTTTTTACTTTTAAGGTTGTTATGATTTTTATAAACAGTTTAAATCTATAAAGTCACTTTCATTATGTTGTATGCAAAACAAATTATACTGTTTGATGGGACTGTGCACAATGCTAACAAAATATTATATCATTGAAGCTTAAATAATTATTACTTTTAGATTTTTAAAATTATTTTAATAAAATTATTTTCTGAATGCTGTGCGTATAAAATTAATTTATTTTATACTCAAAAAAGATCTTCAGTGTTCATAAACTTTCATTAACTACTGAGTTTATATTGAATTGTATGCTTTGCACTTAATACATTATTGCTTTTATTTTCATATTCTGTTTCACTCAACGCTAGGAGGTAAGGTTATATTTGTTTTATTCCTTAAACACTTTCAGAAATGTATACTTATTGCATATAGTCAAATAGTCATGGAGCCTTATTGCATTTTTGCCAACAGATTGCAACACTAATGTTATTAGTGTATTATTTATTTTTAAAAAGTTAATGAATAGTGATTATCATTGATTCAAAAAAAATATAATGAATATCTTGTATAGTAAAAAAAAAAAATTTTTAAGTGGAACATGGGTTCCAAAGGGTCCCAACCAACTTTTTAACATTAAATTTATATTTTGTCATAAGACTCCATAAAAAGACTGTTTTGTTTTGCTTTCTTCTAATTTGTGTTATCTATCATCAAAACCACCTAGCTTTAACTTTTACATCAACCAAAGTATAAATATATCTCGTCTTTTACTATTATTACACTTATGTTCAGATAGTTTTGGGAGTATTTACTTGGGAGCATAAGAAGTTTCATGAACAATTCCTCACGACTACCCACTCCCCTCCACACACATGCAAAATTATTATGGATATTTCAGTGCAGCAGTTATTCTTCTTTAAAAAAATATAATACTTTTTTCACCAAAGTTTACTATAAAATTCTCATATGTATGGCTGGTCCATTTAACTGTCAATCTTTGCTGCAGAATAATGAAAAATATATAGCTCTCTTTTACACTGTCTTGAAAAATAGCTTGTTGGTATACAACTCACTATGGTATTTCTGTCTCATAAATCACACATTAAATTAAATCAAACTGTATTCATTGTTGGTATGTCAACTTTCAATCATGTAAGACATGATTTCATGCCTATATACGCCTTCTAAAGGAAAACCTAATGGCCCAGAAGAAGGTGCTTCCTTTCAAAATCCACGTACGTAACTATGTCCTCTTTTACTTTATTGGAAGTTATTTTTTGGCTTACGGTTCTTTGATTTTGGCCTATATTTAAATTAACAGGAATAATAGGAAATATCTCATCTTTTAAAACTATATTTTTTAACAAGTTATATGATTTTTAAGTTTCTTTGAAATTTAAAGATAATACGTAAAAGCACTGAGCTGTTTCAAATTTAATTTAAAAATTAATTGAATTTCCTGTAAGCATTTTCAGTACTTTTATGTTTCTTTGTTCACTTCTTTTAAATTTTGCGGGAAAAAATGCACCTCTGCAATGTAAGTATTGCTGTCATTTTATGCATTTCGTGACTGATTAGAATGGCTGTTGTTATTTCTTATTCAACTCCAATTGTTTACATCCCTTACCTTATATTGGTGGTATCTTATTTTCATTGCAATTAATGGCCTATTTCTTTTTGTGTGTCCGTGTATCCAGCTGCAGGAGGTAGTATGATGTCTTGATAATTTTTGTTCTCTTTATTTTAACCAATATTCTGTTGAATTCAGTTTTATGTTATTATCCAGTCTAATCACCTTGCATGCACAACTTCTGTATATATGTAACTGGAGCTTTGTAAATATTTACTAGTTTAAGGACTATTTTTAAATATTTTTTTTGCATGTCAATTGTTCAGATGTTGTCTCTTTTAAAGCTAATCAAACCTGATAATGATTTTTTTCTTTTAAATTTAATCTACAAGAGTATTTGATACTATTTTTTTTAAAGTTCTATAAAATTTGTAACGTTTGTTGAATGATTGAAACCTTCAAACTTTTGGTATTATTTGTAATTCAAGAGCTTGCACCATAAAAAAAACGTTCTACAAACGTTTATATTTCTAAAATAAATATTATCAAGCTTAATTTCAACTCGTAACTTAAATTTTTCTAAGTGTATTTCTGTTTTTCTTATTATGCCTGTTCTGTAATTTGTCTTGCAAAAGAGTTACTAAAGGCTAGCACTTTTATTTTTTTCAACAGCAGAAGAAATATGTTTATCAATATATAAATAATTGCTTAATTATTTAATCATGAGGAGATCAAAAGTCAATAGTTAATTGCATGGTTTAAATTATAACCAGCTTCCTACAAATTCATACTAATAAGACACTCTCACAAACTTGCATAAATGTTCATCTATAAACACTCAGCCCTACCCTCCAGTGTTATATACAACTGCTTTTTTAATGAATTCATTTATTATGATTCTGTCAAACTTACTAAATGAAATGGGCATATACAATTTAGGACATAATTAGTATTCATTTCTTCTGTCCAGTGGATACATTTTGTTGTATGCTATTTCTCAATAAATGCATTTATCCCTTCTATAATCTTATCCTGGACCTATACTTCTCTAACTGTTTAAAACATAAAACATTTATTTCATTATATTAAGGATGTAGAGTGGTTGGGGTTTTTCTCATAGTTTTCCAAATTCATGAAGCCTCTGGGTTATTGTGTCAAATAATTTCCTTATTTTTTCATCACAGTCTTAAATTGGAAAAAAAATGGCTCATACATTTGGTAATGGTCTGTTTTATTGAATGAATAAACAGAAATCCCTATTGATGTAGATGCTCCTACAGGGATAAACTAACCAGCTGGCCATAATTCTGTCTATCCAATCTTTCAAAATGCAAGGAATGCACAGCAATATGTTTCTCATGCATGCACTTTTTCAAGACCACAAAGCTTCTGTTTGTTCATCTTTATTATTTATAATGTCATAGAACTCATTTGTGTTTTAGGGTGTACTTAAATATGTTTTAAGTGGTGTGTCTGAGAGTAGGTCAAGTGGTTGTCTAGGTCATTTATGAACTCTCACATAATGAACGCCCCTCTGCATGCATTAATAAGTTTTAAAATGAACTAAATTATTTATATCTTTCCAGGAAATGAGATTTTAAGTACTTGCCAAACTTTTCAACTGTTTATCCTTTCATAGAAATAGACAACTGAGACATTTTTAAAAGAAATTATAAGTGAAACTTGGCTCAATAAGTTGATCATTTTAAATAATTTTATTTTTTTGTGTGTTTATGTTAAGATTCTTTGGGGTTAATAATCCATCTGTTTATAAACCATTCTAAAAACAAATTTGTGTGCTGTTTTCTATTATGTTAAGTAATCTTATTAGTTTATGCTAAATAACTGTTAATGATTAAGTTAATTAGCAGTGTTGAAATATTAAGGAATTAAAAGAATATCACATTTTTGTTATTGGCCTCATAAATTTTATTTTCAAACACTTTGTATTTTCAAGTGTTGACCTAATTTTTTTAAAGGGTCCAATGTGACAGAGGAAGAATTAAGAGTAGCTGAAGACAAATTTGAGGAATCAAAAAATTTAGCTGAAAATGCTATGCATAATGTATTAGAAAATGAGGTAAGCTGGTGTTAATGAATGAACATTTATCATTTAATAGTAATAAATATAATTTCAAAATGTTCATTTAATAATTTTAACTGTAATATAAATTGAAATCAAAGAAAATAATTTTTTTTTAAAATGTCCTTTATAAACGATAAATATTTCATTGGTTTTCTCTAAAGTTGTTCTCAATGTCATGGAACTGAAAATTAAGGATTTATTAACTTTCATTATTATAATTTTATTATATAAATATTCTTGGTTTATTCAATTTACCCATTTTGTTTATTACACATGTATTTTATTATTGACCTCATTGTATCGTGAGAGTATCATTTGAAAATAAAAATATTCTGAGAAGGCTGAGAATAAATATGTCTTGTTTTTTTTAAATTGTCTATAGGTGGAGTATATAAGCCAATTGCAAGCATTTATTGAAGCAGAAGTAGATTATCACAGACAAGCACTAAACACACTCCAGTCTTTGCTAGATGCTATTGAGCAAAAGTGAGTATAATCTGAAACATTTTGTTATCAATATTTTTTGTCACCTACATAAACTATACCTGATAGATTATGACTTAACCCTCATAATCTTTTCATTCAAGGGTGTAAAACAAACCAGTGAATCATCCTCTTAAAAGCTCCTGAATAATTCAAACAATTTTTACTACATTTTATTATTTATTTATTTTTGTAATACATGCCTTTTATGACTTAAAATTTATTTATAATTTTTCATTATAATTAAATACTACATTCAGTATCATTGAAAAGAAAAAGACTATCTCTGCATAAAAGCTTGAACAATTGTATTAACATTGTAGTAGAGATTGATGAAGTAATTTTAATTCTGGATCTGATTAGTTGGAAAAAGTAATTTTTGAGAGTTTTCCTTAGAAGTTTCAAATAAAAATTCAATTGTTTTGACCCTGTAAACTCTAAGATATTTGGGCGAGGGGAAGGGGGGCAGGCACATTTAATGCTAACTTTAAGGGTCTGCAGTTGAGTGTGGTGGGGGGGTGGATTGAGAAGCCATAAACAAGGTATTAATCAAATATCTGACAATATTGACATTCACTTTACCTAAATTTTATGTAGATTTAAAATAGCACAATAAAATTCTGTTTTAGATTTTAAAAATAATTTTTTAAAATCTAGAAGATATGGTCAATATATTCTTATCTTTTGGTTGTTACTTTACTCTGCATAAATACGCTGGGAGAATCAATAAACCCATAACACTATTGTAAATTCTAAAAATTCGCAAACGGATGTTGCAAAAGAAAAATATGATGTTATTTAATTCATTTTAAGCCCATTCCATTCATATTAGATGCAATTAAACTTATTTCAAGCCCATTCCATTAACATTAATGCAGTTAAGTTCATTTCAAGTCCATTTCATAAATATTAGATTTAGCTTCATACAAAAAGTTTCTTAGAATGATAATAAACCTTACTAGCCTTTCAATAAACTGTTTGATGGTAATGCATTAAAAATTCCTGCAATTTTCCACTCACTTAATCCCCTTAGCAATCTATTGTGGTCTTTGAAATGGTGGAGAATTTCAAAATTTAAATACTAATTTTAATTTGTGATAATTAACAGATAGTTATGTTTTTAATAGCTATGGGAAGGTCTTAGCAGCTTAAGTGGAAATGCCTTAGCAGCTTAAGTGGAAATGCTTGAAATTAACTTAATTTTGTATATATTTTCTTTTGTAGCCTCAATGATTAGCAAAATAGCAGCTTTATGTGTGTATGGTCTACACTTCACACAGATATATATTTTAGATTAGACAATAAAAAATATGCTTTCTTATAAATGATACATTATTTTAAGGCGAAACGAAGCTTCATCCAGACCAAGATCAGAACACATACCCAAGCGTGTGAGCTCTTTCAGGCGAAGCGAGTCACCAAATTCTTATGATGGTCCTAGTGATGGCCTAGAAACAAGTGGCAAGTCTGGTAGCTATGCCTTCAATAATATCCAGGCCCCATCTTACCACCAGTCTGGTGAGTGTCCTGCATTAGTGCATTTCTGCATTATTGTAATTTATTTGATACTTCATAGCACTGCAGTTGATAATAGCATTTTAATAAATTTTAATATATTGTTTACAAATATAAAATAATGTCATCATATTTTCCTTAAACATAATGAAAATTGTAAAACTTTTATTCAAGTCTTTATAAAAGATTTAAAAAAAAATTGTAATCATGAATAAATTTGATCGCTGCATAGAATCTAATTTTGCAATACAATTTTTGGATAAATGTTTGCACATTTGATGCCATACATCAATTGCATAGACTTTGAAGTGTGTGATAATGATATATACAGACCTGTTTACCCTTAAACCCCCAAAATCATACAATATAATCACAAAATCGTTCAATACATCATCTTAATAGTAAAAAAAATAAACATACAGTATATATAATGTATACACCTCAAAATAGTACATTGTACGCCAAAATCTTAACAGGTCTGTATATATATAAAAATCCCCCCCCCCCCCCCCCCCTAATATACTGTTTGCATTTTAACAAAAGTGATTTTTTATTTACATTTCACAAGCAAAATAAATTTTATTTTAAATTTTATTTTTAAGAAATACTTGTAATTACTCTTTAAAACTATTTAGTGTGCCTTAACAAACATTCTGTGTGTATGCATTATGACCAGACATTATCCATCTTATCATATAGGTAGAAGTTGTAAAGTCATAATGAATGTAATAATATTGAAGTCTGAAGATTTGCTTATGGATGACTTTATACCATAACAATATATTAAAATCTAATGATAATATCAATAGCAAATCATCGCTAACATGATAACAGGCATTGAAATAGTATTTTAGTTTTAAAAATAAGTTTTTTTCTACAAAAAATGTAATTTATATTGTTACATTATTTATTTTCATATTTGAATCTCAGTACACATTCATATAATAGTATCTCTAAACTAATCTAAAGAATATTTTATTGCATTATCCTGGCTTATAGCATATGTTAATATTTATGCATATGTATTTCAAATTTGTATTTGCTTTAGCTATCTAGAGGTTTTGGTTAAAATGATTGTGTTGAAATGTTTTTGAATTGCGTTGGCTTATAAACACACTTTTTTAGAAAAGTATTCCTTGAGTTTATTCAAAGTAATATACTCAAATAGAACACCTGTAAGTAGTGAGAAGAATTTTTTTTCCTGATTTAATTAAATGCCCTTTTTTTTAAGGCTATGAACCATATGATGATCAGGATCCTTTTGGGTCTTACGCTGGTAAGGACAAAAATGGTGGGGAAGTGTCCATATTTGATGTTAAATAAGACTAGTGAATTTTGGTTTCTTGGTAGATGAGTGATATTTATTAAATTAATGGAACTATTATTCAGTATGAGATGTGTCTTGGATGTATTTTAAAAATTTGCATGTGAAAAGGATTTATGTTTAGTCTTCAATCTCTCTCAAGTAAGATAACAATGCATTTTCTACAAAATATTAGGATATAGTGCAGTTTTTACTACTTTGAGAAAATTTTCTGTAGTGAAAAGCAAAATAATGTCTGAAAACAAACACACTGTAAATTGAAGTTTTTAAGTAGTACATTTGGAAAATCACAGGAGGCAAAAATAATATGAATGACAGGACTAGTCTATTCTAAAATTTACCAGTCATATAGTTACAACCATAATGTTTGATGTGTTTAAGATGTCTGTAGCCCCTTTTCACAATCTGGTTTATTGAATTAGGTTGAGACGGATCAGATCTGGTCTTTGTTGATTTATATTTCTATGATTTTTAAAGTTGTTGACTACTTCGTAGACCTCCATCTCGTTATTTTGAAAGCTTCACTCTGCCTTGTGACATATATATATATAGATATATTATATATCAGTTAGATTTAAAAAAAACAATGCACACTATTTAATTAGAAAACATGATAGTCTTATATTTTGGTCTTGAAATATCCATCCATTTCCTTAAAATGTTTTCATGGTTTGTATGCTTCATGTATTTAATTTGTGTCTGTATACTGTGTACTTAATTCTGCATTTTTCTGTATGGGCTCTCAATATGTATTTTTATGAAGTTAATCATAATTTTATTTAACTGTCTGTAAATCAATTTAAAATTCAATTTAGATATTTTATTATTAACTGGAAGTAAATTGCAAGAATGTTTTCTTACCTTTTTGTTTTAGCTTAGAGTAGAAGTAACCTAATGTTTTAAATCTAGAAACTTTAACATGTAACATCTAATGTTTAGCCAATATTTTCTTTTCTTTGTCTTAAATATATATTTTTTTTAAATGTATTGATAGGTGTTTTTTTCTGTTCTTTTATGTCTCTGAAGAACTTTTTTTTTAAATTGTACAAAATATGTAAAAATAGTTATAAGTAAAATGGGTAAAAATAGTTATAAGGAAAGCACAAAAAAATAGTATTTAGGATATTTTAATCCTAGACTTTTTATCAAAATGAAAACTGCTTTGATCACTACTGCTTTTTATGTTAAATGCTTTTTTTTTTTTTAAAAAAAAAAAAAAAAAAAAAAAAAAAAAAAAAAAAAAAAAAAAAAAAAATTTTTTTTTTTTTTTTTTTTTTTTTTTTTTTTTTTTTTTTTTTTTTTTTTTTTTTTTTTTTTTTGCATGTAAATAAAAGCCTATATCACAGCAGCTGACATCCAAGCATGCTACATGTTTTAAAAAAATCAATGTTAAGCTTTGCAAACTGATAATTGAGAAAGTGCTGTTCAAGCAAATGTCTACATCATGCACTATTTAAAAAAGAGTGCACCTATTCTTTCATTATTGTCTTTATACTTGAATTAGGTTATTTCATTAATTCTTGGTACTACCAAATCATGGTTACCAAATCAAACATTGGTAATTCAATTAAATCCATTGCATCAAAAAAATTATTTTGTTACTAAGAGAATAAGACATTTAATAAAGATATTTAAAAATTTTGCTTCATACCATTTAGAAATGCAAAAATAACAGCTTATAATCCTTTCTGTTAACTGGGTTTTTGGTTTTCTTTACATTGTTTTTGCATGTTTTACTCATTTGGTCAAATAAACTTTGCCATATTTTGGTACCAGGAATTGCAGGCTTTTGGAAATTCTTGTTGTCTTTTGAATTGTAATATTTTTCATGTGACGTACGGTGAGCCCAGGCCTAGGCCAATGTAATAATAATAATTTTCCATTTAAAATATAAGGTGCTTAAGGGAAAAATCACAATTTCAAGTTTCAATGTTTGTTTTATATTTCAGTTCCTGACACAAAAAAAAAACCTATGGCTAAAGCATTATACGACTTCATTCCTGAGAACGAGGGTGAATTGGGCTTCCAAGAAGGAGATTTTATTGATCTTATTAGCCAGGTATGTGTCATATTGTTAAAAATCAGATAACTGAAGTAGCTAGCATGCCATGAACTTAATATATATGGGTTTTGTTTGTGGGTTTTGTGATTAGCTTTTTAGCACAAATATTGTAGCTTTCATTACAATTATTTATTATATATAGGACAGGTTCCCCAAACCTGTTTTAAGTCCCAACCCCATTTTATTGAAAGAAAAGTGACACACAATAAATAAATAAAATAATTTTGTTTAACTTTTCTCTATTCTGATATCCTTGATACTGTTACTATTATTACTTGTCAGAATGATCATGACCTGAGAGGATATCTTAGTGGATATCAGATAGAGGTGAACTGCTAAATTCTCACAACTGTAATAACATGAAATTCAAGTCTTCATATTTCAATTATTTATTTATATATACACTTCTCAGACTAAGATTCACATATGACAAATATTGGAATGATGATTAAATACAGTTAATAATACATCCATTTCTATTTAGAAAATAACATGTGAGCCACTCATACATTGAATTCTTCTTTACACGTGAGACAAAGAAATTTCTAATTCCTTTCCATGCATGCCACTATGGCTGCTCAAGTAGTTCCTTACCTCTATAAATAGCTGCATGTATCACGTGAAATTGTAATTTCCACTCATCAGTAAAACAACATCAAATATCATGTTACAATGTGGTAATAGAAAACACATAAAAAAAAAGAAGTTTATAAATAGTAAAATAAACTTTATTATGACACCAATTATAATAGAAAATTTCTTCCAAATCATAGTTTTATTTTACTGGTTCAGAAAAGCCTCCACAATCCTATTTGGGGTCGCAACTAATTTGTTGGGAATAAGGGTAATATACAGGGTGTGGGCCATGAAAATGTAGCCAGCGTTTTGCATAAGTATGACAAGATAAATGAGCAAGAGATTTATTAAAATCCACCTTACCCTTAAGTGATGTCATCATCTGCGGTCCCATTATCTGCTTTAACTTGTTGGTAACAATCCATTTGCTCATTCATCTTGTCATACCATTGCCTGAAGAGAAGATAATTTTTCATGGCAGCCCCATAGTTTAAATACATTTTATTGAAAACATATTTGAACTTCATCATAGATTAATTTAAGCTTAGGAATATTTTCTTTCTTTCAGGTTGATGAAAATTGGTATGAGGGTTCAGTGAATGGACAGGCTGGTTTCTTTCCTATAAATTATGTTGAGGTCATAAACCCTATCTGATGAAGAAAACTTCAACATCAATGCAAGCATATCTGCTATCTTACTTGATTATTCCTTTTTTTAGAACTATTTCTTGCCTTTCCCTTCCTTACATATGTTATTTATCAGTACATGCTATCATTTTATGCCACAAGAATTCAGCCCTATTTCACCTTAAGTGAATCACAGCTGCATGTCATTTGCATAGAATTATGAAATGTGGTTATCTATCTAATTTGTTTGAAAGAAAAGCATGATTTTCTATATATTGACAAGATAAATATGTTTACCAAAAGAAATAAGCATAGTAATAAGAATTTGACATAAGGCGCCTTGGTTATACCTGGCTTGAGCAAGGGTGCTTTGAATCAAACAATTTTGGAACGACTGACTTGAATCATTCATAGTCTACTGAAAACATAAAATCCTAATTCAAGATATACCAATTATATTAGTTGGATTTGATAGTGGAATGAATTAACTAATCTTTAAATTTTGTTAAAGGGTGTTTTTTTTTTTTTTAAATTGCTCAGATTCAGTGGAGTTTTCTAGTTAAACTTCTTTGTAACTGTTGCAGATAGTAAGAAACTCATTTTTAAAGTCACACATAAAGTTAATATTGGAATTGTTTAAGCGTTTTCTTGTAAGGACTAATTTAACCACTCAATGTTATTAAAGTTGTAAATATCTGTCATACAGAACTGGACAATTCTGAAACAAGTGCTCATCTGATACTTATTTTACACACTAGCAAAGGAAATCCATTTAATAATTTTTTTTAATTGTTAAAATAATTTAAATTCTTTCTGTATATGGTAAACCAGTTATATTAGATTACCTTTTTTAAAAAAAAACTTCTTTGCTCTCTTGTTAAAAGTAAAGTAGAAAAATAATTTGGTTGAATTTTGTTATTGGCTAGGAACATGCACAGCTCCCATAACAGTATATTTATTTTCACTAGAAGTGCAATATTTTGAGTTGCCACCAAGAACTGAAAAGATTTCTAAATGAAATGGTTGTAAACTTTGTTTTATCAGAGATTCTACTTATATTTAATGTCTTAATTTATAACATTAATACTGAAATGCTACAGTTCCTATCAACACAGATCCTTAATTACATCTTCATATTTTTTGGTCATGAGTTAAGTTATGGTAATCTTATCATGTATATTTTCAGTTAACTAAGGATGCTGACATACCTTATCTCAGGTTATGTATAAGAAAATGCTATGTGTATTTTTTAATAAATGACATTAACTGTTAGTGCTGAGAGACAAAAATACCATGTTTAGAGCTGTATTTTCTCATATCTGTACAAGTTACATTGTAATATTCTTCTCTAATGAAATGCACTCCACATTTTTTTTTTGTAGTTGAATGTTCATTGGCAGCAATTTGTCCAAAAGCAGTTTTCTGAGGTTCTTAAATAATATATATTTAAATAGTCAAAACTTGATGAATGTATTAGGATATGACATAGATTTAATTGCTTTGAGCTAAACTATTCAATGTTGATTTAAATACTTGCTGTGTAAGTTTCAAGAAAATTTTCAAAATCATTTATTCAATTCATGTAATGTAACAAATTATGTCTATTTTACCAATAATATTATGTTCCATCATGAAAATGCATTAAATGTTGGCATTTGTATAAAATAGACTGATAAGAGTAAATGTTTGAACTTCCTTTTTCAAAGGAAAACTGTTTCATCTCCATACTTAGATTTATAGTGTAAAGGGTTTTAAGTTTATATATATATATAACACGGCTGTCACGCTGAACAAGTGTGTAAGTGTAAATGATTACCTATGCGAATAGAATTAAGCCTGTACTCTGAAATGATGTGGTTGAAATCTCACTGCAAAAGAGTATATTGTAAACAGTTCATCTCATTTTGATTTTCGTTTTGTATAAAAAAACATTTCATGAATAATATGTGTTTTGGACTGAATGTTCATTTTTAAATTCCCTTTTTTGGCTTGTCAATTTAAAAATTTTTGTTATGAGTTCTTGCCTATTCTTCTTCTTCCTTTTTTTGGGGGGATAGCTTAAAAATAATAAATTGGCAGTTGCATCATCTTAAATATGATAATGTGGGTTTATTTGTCACCCCCACCCCTTTTTTAAATAAAAATTATTTGTTTTTAATCTTCCAGAAATGCTATTAATTTTTTTTTTAAACATTTATTTGCTCACTTACTTGCAATATCAAGTATTCCACAACACCTGTAAATTTCTTGTCAACATTTCTTTGTATATATTATAAAAATTGTTAGTAAATATTGTTGTATGATTTACAAGGTGTGAATATTTTGTGTATATAATACTTGTGTTGAAACTTAGATTTGTAAATTTGCTATATCTGAAGCCTAAACCGCACACTGATATTGGTTTGGAAAGAAATAGAGGTCTGAATTGTAGCCCCACAGTTAATTTTCATGAAAAAAACATATCTTAAAACAGCTTTAAAAAAAAGACTGTTAAAAGATAATAGCAATTACATAACACAAAATTTTTGTACTAAATAAATTTTAAAGCAACCATCAAAAGCCCAGCAACATCAAATTTTTTAAAATTTCATTTTAAAGGATTGAATAAATCCATTTGTTTGATGATTTATGTAGTAACAAATTAAAAACCAACAATTTTCTTGCAAATAAAACATCTGAAATACCTGAAGAGAAAAATACCTGAAATATCAAATGTTTTAGCTGATCATTTAAATATCATGACAGAAAGGATGATAAATTATTTACGACTCTAAATAAATGCCATAACTCAAATGAACTAATGTAATATTCAACAGAAGTCATATATGGTCTGGGCTAGTATTAGCTGTGCTGGACCAATAGAAAAATGCCTGAAGTTTTAAACATATTGAAAGTAAATTACCATTTTCAAACATCTTCACCTTGAGTTTCTAAAATAAAATAATTTTTTTAGCCTAAAGGTTAAAATTAATTAATTATATATCCATTCTTTGTGTTTAAAATGTATAGTAATAATTACTTACCTTAGCAGAAAGTTTTGCTAACATGAGATTACTGCAGCAGGCTTTGTAAATAATTCAGAATAAGTCAAGTTTAATTTAAAATTGTACATCGCTCTACAATGATAAGAGGCATGAAATATCCATATATTTCTGTAATGCAGTGACATCATGTATTTTTTTTTATGCTGTTGGAAATCTGTTCAACACAACATTGTAATGTAATTAATTATTGTATACCAATTCACAACTTAGATTTGTAGTATTACTTTACTAAAATTTCCAAGTTGCGATATTTCTGCTATATGACAATTAAATATATCCTGGAACTATTACTCACTTTTTCGCCCTTATTGAAATAACAACCATAATTTTGGTCATCGGCACTTGAGAATATAAATAAAGGGGGGGGGGGGGGCAGCGGTGGCATGAAAAAGAAAGCTATTCCTTATCATATGGTCATTGTTGGTTTCTTGCTGTATGTCTAGGCATGTTGTGATTTCTAGCATATAGATATCTGTTTCATGTTTTCTCGAACTGTGATAGGTGTGTTAGACACTCTTTATTAATAAAACAATTTACACTAGTCATAAATCATATTAGACTACCCTGGCTGTAGAAGAAAGGGTCATCAGATTTATGTTGTTGTAATATTGTTCTTAGCTTACATGGGTATTTCCGATTAATGTCACATGTTTTTATCACAGTATTCTTTCTTAAGGAAATTCTTTTAAACTCTTGATTTGTGAAAATTAAAGGCTTATGAGGAACATCTTGTCACAAAACTGCTGTGTATATTTGTTAACTCATCTATTGTGTATGGCTGGGTTAAAGTGAGAGCAAATGCTCTTTGTTTTATGAGACAATTCATTGCTGCCCTCACCTCTTTTCCATTCAGATCAATAAATGTATTGAGGATTAATTTGACTTATTTTGCCATCAACTTCAAAAGCCTATTTCTTAAAAAAAAAAAAATCTGAAAGCTTGACCGTTAATATACTTTTTCTTTTATTCACTAAACTAAGTCTAAATATTATATTTTTTTGGGGTAAAATATATTTGTTTTGGCAAATATACTTAGTTTTTTAATTAAAAGCTCAATTCTTTCTCTTTCGTTCTTATAATATATTTTTTCAATGAACATTTTAACAAATGTTCCATTATCGACGCATTTCTTTTTTTTTGTGTGTGCCTTTAATTTTAAAAAAAAAAGGAAAATATTTTACAAACTTCTGTAGCATAATCATACAATCATGAACTTTTAAAAATCCTTTATGTTTACTTTGCTTTTGTTCGTGGCTGGCTGGATGGCTGTCAAGACCTTGGGATGACTAATTGACCCACTTCCCATCAACCTATCGAGCTAAAACTTGCACATAGACTCATTACCTATGACAACACATTCAATCAAATTTTCAGCCCAACCCCCTAAAATAAGGTTTTCCTGTTTTTCAAGGGAAAGATGAAGGAAACATGATTTCATGATATAAAACTGATCACTGTGCTAAATGAGATTCTTTTTTTTTTTAAAATATCGCAAGTGCATTTGGTGCTTAATATTTTCCTCTTGTTTTTCCGAAATAGTTTGTGATATAAATCTGCGGTGTAAAAGTGGGTGGGTCATTAGAACATTAATATAGTTGGGGCGTGGAAAAAAATGTGCAGTTGTGAGCCAGGGGGGTGAAGCACTAATTGGGAATCTTATAAATTGCATTACTTGCATGCCTGTTTTGTCAAATTTTCAGCCCCACCTCCCATTGCTCGATATTACAATTAATGAATGATTTATACAAAAAGCTTTGTTTTTAGGGATTGTTTGATTAAATCTTTTTTTTCCCAATGTCTTATAAACAATCAAATTCAATCAGAAAGATCATTTAATGCACCACAAAGGATATTAGTTTGATGAATGATTTTTAAAAAAAATATTTTTTTATATTTTCAAGGGAAATAATGGTGATCAACATTTACATTAGTGTTGCTAACTCAAAACAAAAGAGTTAGTCAAATAGACTCATCATATAAAAAGTAATTTTCACAAATGGAACAATTGTTTCATTAACATCTAAACAGGTACAAGAGATGCATATGTTTAATTATATTTTTTCCTCCATGCTGAGTGTAAAGACTACATTTGAAGGACACTGACTCATTAAAGGGTCTTTCCAGATCCAGTATGTTGTGCAAATTTTATGTTACTTTTTTGCCAGAGATAGGCGATTTTTGTAATTGATTCTTGCATCAGAACTTAGTTGGTTTTAAAACCAAAAACTTTAAATTAAATTCAAATGTTAAAAAGAATTTTTAAGGTATTGAAAAGTTGTTTTTTTTTTTTTGTCATCATCAAATAAAAATCGGCACACAACCAAACATTCATATTTTGACATTCACAAAACTGAAATGTGGATTATCCTAACAGTGATGTCAGATTTTTGTTCTCTCATAAAGATGTATTTATTTTGATCCAGTTTCCACTATCTGAACCTATTTCACTGACAACACCTATAATCTCAGTGTTATTGCTCACACTTGCCCCTTGGAAGCTGTTACATCCCATTCATTTTACAATTGTAATAAAACGAGGGCTCACCATGGTAACAACTGATGCTACTGATTTGTGACTACTATTTTATGCTTATTAATCATTAATTGGTCAACAGTGGGGACACGTTTTTAGCATAATTTAGCTATTTTAAAACCGACTTTATCCAGTGCTATGTATTTATTTCTTATGAATGTTAATTAATTCACTTGTTATTTTTTCTTCAAATTATCACATCCTCAATTTGTCTTTGTTTTAAGTTGTGTGACAATTGCAAAGGGAATATTATGATAAGTAGCTTGTAAATAAAACATAATAAATGAAAAATGAACAAGTTTTATGGATTGTTCCTTTGAAATTACTTTTTTGAAAGTTCTATTACACTTCTTTATCGTCGTTGATAACAATAGGTCTTTGTTACTTTGCGTTTAAGGGAAATAAATATTAACATCGTTATGATCTTAGAACAAATCATTATGGTCTCACCGCTTGGTGCTCATTTAATACCAAAAAAAAAGTTCAAAAATGGCTATCTAAAGTCTAGGGAGTCTTAATTTTAATTTTTTTTTTATTGGCGGGGGGGGGGGTGGGGGGGGGTGTTGTTTCGAAATAAGGTAAAAATGGTGCGACATCATTTATGCATTTCGTCTTCCCCAAACCAGGTGGGATTAGTCTAGACTTGCCAGGATTGCAGTGTTGCTTATTTACAATAATAATCAGATTTATTGCGGTCTTCTCATTATTTCGTTTGAAAACAACAAAAAGTTTGATACGAAAAAAGGTAATGATATCAATAAATTTTTCTTCAGATTGCCATAAAGTTAGTTTATGAACGAAATCTATGGTCATTTATCGCACAACCTATCTGGCCTATCTCCTAAAAAAAACGATCATTTATATTGTTAAGACACCGTTAATTAATGATTTTTCAAATATTTGAATCTGCTTTAAGATTTAACTCGCTAAATAAACAATAAGTAACAAAGGACTGAAAACCAGAATACAAAAAAAACAACAAAAAGATAACAAAGCTAGTGATAGTAACAACATTCAATTTAATTGTACTATTTAATTTATACAAAGAATACAAATCAAATAGACAAAATAAAAACTATATCTTACAGAAAAGCAAGTGAAAAAGTGCAATCCTCGAAAGATACAAAATAATTTACACACCCATAAAGTGTACAATCTTGTCAGTAGGCCTATATTACTCAATTACGTTTCGTAAATGTACAGGAAAAATCGCAAAAACTTCTCTGAGCTGAGAAAGCTGCCCTTTGATTTGTAGAGTTAAGTTGGAACCCTCCAGAAATGAATTTCTAGAAATAGAATCACTTGATAGCTTTCTTTGGAATAAAATAGAACGTAGGCTTATTTTAGCGTAAACAACCTTTTCCCAATCGTTTGGGGTGAAAAAGCGGGGGGGGGGGGGTTGGTTTACCGCGTTCCACATTTAATACCATGACGTCAATATAAAAAGGGGGTGGTGGTTGACACTTTAGCTACGGTATACGTTAAAGTAAAATTAGGCCTAGACATAAGCTATAGGCTACTATAATAATATTCTGGATGCAATTTTGTATGCAAAAATCGCCCTCTTCATACTTCATTAACAATCCAATTATTTGCTATTTCAGATCTTCTTCTTCTTAGGTCTGTTAAAATTTCATAATTTTATCGAAAGAAATATATTCCTAATCTAATCATAGTCTTGTATTCATGGGCGCCCGCAGGTAGGGGCAAGGGGGGGGGGGCACTTGCCCCCCCCCCCCCGGTCTGATGGGCAAAAAAAATTTAGACAAAAACAGACAAAAAAAATTTCACCAAACAAATATGCTACATTAAATTAAAACTATATTAAAACGTTACTTCAAACTTTTTGCCCCCCCCCTGGAAAGTTAATCTATTTTTTGCTCCCCCCCCCCCCTAGAAAGTTTTCTGCGGGCGCCCATGCTTGTATTTAAGCATTTGGGAAGAAAGGATGGACTTTCTCTTGGAGCAATTTCTAATGGTCCACAAATAGCGAGCTAATGTCATATTTTCTAGCTCGCACTCATCTGCTTTGCCTTTTTCCTTCAAATTTACTTTTCCCTTTTTCATTTCCCAATCACTATCTTGTCTTCCGATTCCATAACCCAAAGTAGAGATAGCACTGTTAAATCCCTTTCCTTGCATCACGGTGTTTATTTTATTCGCATGTTCAAATATGTCAGTAAGACATGCCAATTTTATGCACCAAAGCTGGTTTTAAATTTTAATCACAACATTTATTTTGCTTATTTCTTTAAAAAATGTAAGCATCATTCCCCTCAAGTCTTCTAGACTTTGTCAGTATTTATTTGTGTATATGTGTGTATCAGATTTTTAAACTTAATTGACCCCGTGTCTTCACAAATTATATTAGCAAAACAACCATGATTGAGAAAAAAAAAGATCATTATGTTTACAAAAGATTTTTTTCACATCAAAAAAACGATTGAAAAATTTATTTGACAGTTATTATTTTTTTTAATGTTACATGTAGCAACTAACCCTAGGGTTCTTTTCCTACCGAAGGCTGTAAGCATTTCACAAGTAGTATCATAATCATATATTTGCTCACAAAATCAATTCGTTGCAGATCTTTATACCATATAACAGGCCTGCACAAATCAAAATGTAAGGTGGGCCGTAATACTTTATGAAAAACTGGCAAGAAGAAAATAGGACCGGGGGTGGGGGGAGCTATTAAGAAAATAATAATAAAGAATATTTCGTTACTTGCCGGCTGCAAATTGGGTGCTGGCGTACCGCATGTGGCCCGAGGGCCGTATGTTGTGCATGTCTGCCATATATAAATAAAGGTAGTACGTTTATTGCAATATAACCGTCAAATTCGAGGTATATAAATGAAAATCAAGTTTTAAGATATTTTAACATGTTGATTTCATGTGTACTGTGATGTACCACGTTCGTAAAATAGTGTCGGTCTAATAAGTTTGCGACGTTACGTTCAGATTGGTGGGGATTCAGGTGACATTAAAGTTCGGGTTCGGTCGTCAGCAAGGTTCGAGTTCGGTGTGTTCGGTTCTATATAATATAATATATTAGTTACAGCCCGCCAAACATTGGCGACGGCAATGCCGGAACTTCCCATCTACTAAAGTTACTTGAAAAAACATGAACCCAAGTATCGCACATTTATGAATCCCAATTTTTTCTCCCCCCCCCCCCCCAATGATACGTCACTGCATACTTTTTTTTTTCACGCCCATGAACTACATTAATATACCCTCATGTCCCAACCACTTTTACACTGCATATTTTCTCTTACACCAAAATTAAATTGAGACGAATTCCATTTATCGAAAAATATTACGCACCAAACGAAGTTGCGTTATTAAAAAAAATAAATGATTTAGCGTAGTTATCGTAAATTATATTTTGCGCGCCAGTGAACTCATTATCTATATATAGCTTGCGTGGTGGTGGTGGTGTTTGACCTTTGTTGGCGAATTATATATATAGATTATACATTATACAGGTTGTAAATTTAAATCGAGTTCGGAGCGAGCTTATAAGCTATTTGGCTTTTCAGCCTTGAAAAAACAGGCTTGCTATAGTAAACAGGAAAGAGAAATTAGCCAATAGTTTTTCAGATTTTATAGGCGGTGAGCCAATCATCACCCAGCAATAGAAGAACGATGACTCTTCGAAGCTGAGATTCAAACTCTCGCTCTAAAATTGTCAACAATCCCAACAGTGTCATGTTGGACAGCAAAAACGCCGAGTGCCGCGGCAAAAAGATATTAAACAAATTGACGAAAGAAGAAATGTCTAATTTACAAAAGCAGATATATTACTCGGACAAATACACTGACGATGAATATGAATACAGGTAGTTGGAAGTACATTTAACATTTGCTGAGCCTTTTTAAAATTTCAATGAAACCAATATCGGATATCGTCATGCTGAACCGAGTGGAATGAAGTCAAGAGCGTAATCTAAATGCAGGCAACCAATGGCAACCGCATACGTTTAATGAGTGTTAAGCCTTGAAAAACAAATATTAAAAGACTAGTAATTTATTTTTGATCAAATTCTTAAATTTAGGCTTAACCTTAATCATAATGTTTTAAATTCCTACTGACTGTATATGATAGTTCATGTCATGTAGTATGTTGATATGGGGTGGCCGATTGGGAAGTTTTGAATGAATATTATATATATTTTTACATTTTCAATTTTGCCATACTCATAGTCATACCTACATACAGTGGTAGACCCAACAAGTTTAAAAGTAAGGGATATGCAACGGTAGGCCAAATCTAGAGCCTTTGTCTATGTTAACTTAATATTTGAATACGTGTAAAATTATGGACAAGACAAATCAGAAAAGAAAGAAAATATATAAATATAGGCTTTTCCATTTTCCCCTAGCTCCTCTTTAATTAAGCCTCTTAGTGCTACTCTTAATTTTATTTAAAACCAAATCCCCCTTCCTCAAACCACATACACACTTTTTTGTTGGCCTGATTATAGATGAAATTACACTTTCAACATTGACATGCCCATGGCTATAGTCTATAGTAATAGTAGTTAAAGACTCAATAGGCTATATTATTATATTACTCATACTCCTAGAGGTAATAAGGGGAGAGACTCATACTCCTAGCCCTAGATTTAAAACAAAAATGTTGTGCCTGATTTTATGTCGTCCCTTCACCACTGCCTGCTAGTACTACATGACTACACTCAAATTAAATTGCAAAATATTTGTTGACCTATTAAATTATTATAATATGAAATAATGCACATCAAATTTAGGCAGGCCACACTTCACTTATCACTATTCATTCTTTTTTGTATCAAATTAGTGCTTCCCAAACTGGGGTCTATTGATAACTTTGTTCCAGTTGATTCATATAGAGGTGACAATATATATACACTACTTTATAGAACTATGATGTAACAAATATAAGCCTATTATCATATTAATCCTATGATAGACCTAGGCTAATGAAATCCTGTGCATTACAAAGCTTTTTATTATGAAAAATGTAGGCAGTATAGGCCTTTTAAGTTGATTTAAAGTTTTTGTGGTACAAATTCAACAGTAGAAGTACAGATTTGATCATCACTGCTTGGGCTTGATGTAATTGTAATAGTAATAGGCCAACTTCTTAAACTTAATTAATGACTGTATAACTTTAAAAAAAAACTATAGTACATTGCCATTGTTGTTGAGGGATTAACATATGAAATCAATTAAAGAACTGGTCAGTGGTGGGAAGACTTGGGGCACTTGTGAAATGCATATGATGTAGGCTTTGCTCAAACTTTATCAGTCTTTACATTCAACCATACAGTCTAAACATAAGCCTAATCAATTGGGGTAGTGGAAGGGGTATACCCACATGACTTTCACGGGAAGTACTTAATGTTAGCATAGAGGTTCTTCTAATTTAATTCAAGTTTTTATTTTTAACTTTATTTTTTTAATTTAACCCCTTTAGCTAATTGGCCAATTCTAATATTCCATTCAGGATTCTTTTTTTTTTAGGGTAAAGTTTTCAGAACTTTTAAAATTTTATTGGATGGTTCCTGTCATAAGATTTCCTGCTTCTCTAGTTTTCCTTTTTTTAAAACACTTAGCTGGTAGCATATACAAATTCTACATTTCCCATGAACTTGATTAACATTGATTGAAGTTTTTGCTTATAGTAATTTAAAAAAAGTATTAATGATCATTTGATTGTTATTTTGTTGAAAATGAAAACACTAGTATCCAAAATCCAAGGGTAAAAGCAGTGCACCCCGCCAACCTTATTTGTCCCACCTAAGCACCTAAAATAGATTACTGTACTTGTCCCCACATCCACTTTAGAAATGTATATTTCCCCCAGAAACTAAGTGTACCCCCTCCCCCCAAATCTTCCAATTTGGCTCACACACATATGTTAGGTTTTTAAATAGAGAGTCAAAGTTAACCCTTTTGAGAAGGAGCCCTTTTTGGACTCTCTGTATATATTCATGTAGTGAATTTAATGAACTAATACACTCTGTATGAATCAAACTGAAATCTCAACATTTATGCAAATTAGATAACCTGATTTGCATAATTTATGCATGCAATTATTTTTTAAAACTTGGAATAAACATGTCTTACTTGAAAATTGTATGATTATTGAAGCCTAAATAAGCCCTAACTAAAATCTGAATGAGATTCAAAGCAAAAAAAAACTTCATAAAACATTTCACTGGGGCTGCTTATGCATTTTGGCCTATTTCAAGGTCACATATTATTTTTTAATCAATTGTAGGGGTCAATACTAACAAAAAATTGATAAAAATGACAGAATACTGTAAACTATCAATGTAGGGTGCCATTAAAATGGTGAGATGAGCAAGAAATGCGAGAAGCAATCTGATTAGTTGGTACAAAACCCAGCTAGCTAATCTTGAGGCTTTTATTGATGGGTAGTTGGATCTGATAGTTTGATTCTGAGAGAATGTGAATACCTAACATCGCTACCTTCCCTCTGTGTCACTTTGTGTGTTAATGTTCCCTAGTAAAAAAATAGATATGCATACAGTTTAGTGACTGATCGCCTACATTTTTAAAAAGCAAACTTTTTAAGCTAGCAAAGTGAATATTGAAGTACCGGTACCCATAATCATTACATACTGTTTTTGGTATGCATGCAAGACACAACCACTCACACACTTTTGCCGCAGCCATCAGAGAATAAAATTTAAAGTTAATAATAATCTGTTTCTGTGTAATAACAGTGAAGATTGGAATTCCTAATTAATACTGTTTGCTTATTTTTAATTTTGTTTCAAAATAATCTATTATTGGATTCTGATAATTTTCACAACTGCAATGCAAAAGTGATACAAATAATTAGTTTTGACTTTTATTTTACACACTTACACACAAAAGCCATTTTTAAAACGGTTAATTAGCTATCCAATTATTGTTTTACATCCCTAATTAAATGAAAAGTTGCACCAATTAATAGAAATCAGTAATAAGCCATTTATCCAATAATCTTTATAAGGATTTTTTGGACATATTAATGGTCTAATACAAGGGTTGGCAAACTTTGACAAATGTAAAGCTATTGGGGGGGGGGGCATGTATGCTATGTCCAATTTTTACATGTAAACAATTCTCTATGTTAAAATTGGTAAATTTGCATTTTAGCATTACATGACAAAAGTCAATGACTGTTTAAAAAAAAAAAGAAAATTCGAAAGAAAGGTGATCTAAAATGTTAAAACAATTATAACAGTACATGAAACTCTGTAAAATTCAACAAAAATAACTTGAAAACAAAGTAATTTTATTTCTAAATGCCTTTGAGGGCTGCATAGTATCATTTGCCATAGTTTGCCCAAACCTGCTCCAATAGGCTTTGAATTGAATATTAGAAAATGCCTCATGCTGAGAAAAAGCAAAATTCAAACTTTTCTAAAAGAATAGCAAATGGTAATATCTAATAACAATAGTCAAAGTTTACTTTTGTAAAGTGTAAAAGCTTGCCTAACCAGATTCACTCAGTAATTAGTTATTCATGGAGGGGCAATTACAGAAGCTACGTTGTCTGTCAAAGACTTCAAGTTAAGGATGCCAAATTTCTGGGGACTGAATTTGCACATACTTTTGCCCGATTAGGAATCATATTGAATGTACAATTAGTTTAACCCACAAACTGTCTCTTCTCTTCCTGTACTGTGTCGGCCGATTGGCCAATAAAAATTGTGTTGAAAGAATAAGTTCCAATCTAATATTTTACACCAAATAAAAATACTTCCTTTTCTTAATAAATGAACTTCCTTTTTTTTTGCTCTTCTGTGTCCTTTTTTTAAACTTGGGAGTAATTTTTTACAATGATCTTTGTCAAGCAAATTTGTGTAAGGAGATTTTCGCGAAATGGATGAGGCCATAGCTGGACCATCTGGCTTACAAAATAAATCAGGAATTGTTTGGATAACTTTTTAGTTAATGACCTAAGTGATTCGGAAGATGATTTTCCAATCACACACGAAGATAATGATAATTCCGATTATTTTTCTTGTGGGTCAGAAAGGCTCAGACAATCTAGGTCTAGAACAAGTAGGCGTTGCCCAACAACAGCACTGGTTCAAAACTATGTTGCAGATGATTGTGTACCAACAAAAAATAATTGGATGTTGTTCTATATTTTTATTTATATTTCATTTTATGGGTTAAATATTTTTATAGAACCTTCAAAATTTTATCTGTTTCTTGCTATTTGGTAATGTTTATATTGTTTAAGTCGTGCTTTGTTACTTGAAAATAATTATAGGTATCAGAAGAAATAAAACAAAACAAAAATCTATTAATGACTAAAACATAAACAAATACATTTTCTGAAAGATAAATAAAAATACTATCATATTATATAAACATTATAATAATATGCCTTCAAAAAATTGTAGTTTGAGGTACTTGAAAAGAAAAATTTTCATTATTTTCTTCATTCTTGGTCACTCCAAGGTCAGCGAGTATAACATATCATTAAAAAATAGCCAGTATGATTCCCCACTCAGTCTAATTTCAATAAATATTTACTTTATTGGGTTTAGCTATCTAGTATTTGCATGTGAATTCGAAGGCACCCAAAAAGCTCTAAATTGCCCACACAGTACAGAATGATACAATGGACTTTTCGTGGGTTAAATAAAATATCCATTTGTCCTTAAATATGTAATTTGTAACCTAATAATTTTATGCTCTTAAATTTCAGACATGTTATGCTTCCTAAAGAGATAGCTAAATTAGTTCCGAAGACCCACCTGATGTCAGAAACAGAATGGCGAAGTATTGGTGTGCAGCAAAGTCATGGTTGGGTTCATTATATGCGACATGACCCAGGTACCTTAATATATATTTAGATCAATCATTAATTCAAATACCTCTACCATTATATCAAATTGAAGGCCTTTTCGCTGGATCAACACATTTTCTCCCCCAAAAAAAAGGGGGGGGGGGGGTTCTTCATAGTGAGGCATGCTAGACATTTACTATAGACTGTTTAAAAAAAAAATCTTTCAGTCTTAGTTCATATCTGCTTGGCTAATTCAGTTTTTATTGTGATCTTCTAAATCCAGCTATATAAGTCACAGGTCAAACATGCAGTATGCTATGTGAACATCCTTACTTGGTTTATTTACTTTTATGTTAATAAGTGTCATACTATGCTTAACCACAGTACTAGTACATTTTACAATGCTAATTTTTATAAAATTCCAGGATTTTTTTTGTGCTAAAAAAGATGACATTATCAAATTCATTGTTCTTCCACAGAGCCTCATGTGCTGCTTTTCAGGCGGAAATTACCAGATAAATAATTGTACAATATTTTAAAATCTATAACTGTTTGGATTTTTGAGAGCACTTTTTAAAGTGATAATTTTCAGCAACCGTTGAATGCAAAGATGTTGCTTGTTGTGAAGAATTCATTTCTGGAAGTGCTATCATGCAGACAATTTTAGTTTTTTTTAAGTTACTGTGTAATATTTCCATTTATTGATGAAATGAAAAATGAGCCTTGTAAATAAATCACAATTATGTTAAATTGTATTATAAAATAGGTCATATGATGTGTGTGTGGCAACTTCTCCTCTAACTCTTAAGTGTATTTGTTTTTGAAGCTGTCTATAGGAAGGACTGTATATAATTTTTTGGTTATGTTTGACATTCATTTTATAAGCAATTCTTATAAATAAATAAATATGTCAAATTAAAGGCGGAATCATGGTTTTAAGTCACTATGGTCAATACTGATATTTGATGGCACCCGGTAGTTAGCTTACTTTTTTGCTTTGTACCTCTCTCTTGTTTTCATTTACGGTACTATTCTAATTTCTATTTTCTATTCTTGATTCTTTGATCAGATGTTTTTGTTTGTCTAAAAAAGGAGTGGCACAATTTATATCCAGCATCTGTTTAATATTACTGTTACTATTTTTGGGCAAAAAAAACCAACCAAAAAAAAGTAGATAATTTGTTAAAATTGCTTTTTTACATTATTGTTATTAGGCTTACAATATAAGAATAGAAAATTAGTCACTTTGTGCAACGTAATTAGTAATTGTCAGCGTTAAAAAATTGTCCAAAATCAAATTGTTAATCTCAGTAATAGTTTTAAAAAAACAATAAAGTTCAAATCGTTACACAATTTTTGTTTTCTTTTGGATGGAAGTATTTCTTCTATATAGTAAGGGTCCACGATCAATTTATTGATCATTTTGGCTCCTATGCATGTAGAGAAGATTTGCAATGTTTCTGTGCCTGGAATTGATGAGGATATTTCGCTGGTTGCAAGGGGTACTCAGTGAGGGTATCATGCACAGGGGTTTGGAAGGCCTGAGGCAATAGAAGCAAATGTGTCAAGTGTTGTCGCCTCAACTGTTCCTTTTAAAAGCTTAAATTTTAAGGGTGTGGTGCGATGAAAAAGTTGAAAACTTGCATATCAATTAATCAAGTTTGGGGTTTTTAACTTGAAATGAAATAATTATCCCAAAATATACAAACATTATCATTAAGTTTTATTTATTGGAATTTATTTAGATACGCTTTTACATTTTGTTTTGAAAAAGTTATAATTATAAATATAATAATAAGACATAGTTAAATTATTTCTTGATGTTTTAATCCAATTCCATTTTTACTTTCATCCTAAGCTGTTTGTTTACATCTCTCAGCTCTTGAACTTGATGTTTCAGTCTTTTCAGTAAAGCAGCATTTTTTTTCTATAAATAAAATTGTTACTGGTTAAAGTAAATTGATTACAATCTTACAGGATATTAATATCAAACTATAAACTACCAGAACTGTTTAGTTTAAATTCAATTGGTATGCTTGAATACCAGGGTTTCCCAAATCTTTTATAGTCTCACTCGCACAACCCCTACAAAAAAGTAACAATGCCCATTTTAAAAATGCACTAAGCTAGTAAAACATGGGTTACATTACTGCACATAAAGTAAATCACTACAACTTACAACAAAAGAGATAAAAACCGTGTAGCTAAAAAATATGATATAATTAAATTTCATTCTGCAGATCACAGTTGAAAACTGTTTCTTCTTACATAAAAAAGCTTCTTCTATAGTTGGGCACTTTAAGAGTGCATTGAATTATAGGTTAATGGCAAGTTACGGTTTTCCCACTTAAACTTAATACCAGCACCAGCAAAGAAAACAACATTTTAAGCCTTTTTCAGTTTTATAATTTTAACTTAAAATTTAAGATGGAGAAGAAATGAATATTGAAATTTTTGTCAAAACTTATTTGTTTGAACCAAGGATATTAAAGTTATTTGATTGAAACTGAGGTAATGAAAGGACATACCAGTACAACTATACTATAACACTAGTGATTCAGATTAGTGGGATAAATAAGTCTGGAAAAAATTTTGATTGCAATCTGATTCACAATGGAATATGGTTCATTGCATTTATTTATACCGGTAATAGCAGGTGTAGAAAAATAAACCTTCAAATAATTCAGGAACCAGCAAATTGTTCTAGCTCTACTTTATTAAAAAATATTTTATTTAGCACTGAAATTTCACAAGCCAGTTAAAAATTTTGGGGGTCTGTATTGCTATTAATTTAATGTTTTGTTGCATTTATTAGCTATGGTACCGATACTGACAGTGACAGATTTAGAAAAATCTAAGAAAACTTAACAGGAGCCAGCATATTTATTTTCTTTTAGTTAGTAGTTTTAGAGCAGAATTTAAAAATCTAGTGCAAAGTAAAAAATTTTGAGTGCACTGTATTAGTATTAGCCTATTCTGGGTATCATATTGTAAATTTAGTATTCATTTTCCTTTCTAATTCCTCAAAATGACAAAAAGAGTATGGTACCAGTAGCATAATTAATAAATTTAATTGCCTTGAATCAATGCACTGTTGTTTCCGAGACTGTTTTGAAATTATTAAGTCACCTGTAAAATGATGTTGTCTATTTCTTTTTGCTTTCTGTTTTGGTGTTGAGCCTGAAACTAAAAGGAAACAATAAGCAAGTCTCATTTTGAAATAAGAAACACATGGTAAGGGCAAAGTTTAAAAAAAGACACCACAAAATAACATGCATTTTGCTTTCCAGGAAAAAAGCATATAAGTGTAGATAAAATAAGATTTTTTCATTGATCCAAACAAATGGAAATGTTTTTGATTACATTGTACACACATTTTCAGCATATAAATTACTTATTTTACTTATTTTAATAGTCACATTTTTCAACTAATAAATTAAACACAAGACATCTACATTAAATTGTTTCTCTAGTGCAAGGGTCTCCAAACTATTTTGCGGCGGGCCGGAAAACAAAAAAAATGACAAGCGCGGGCCAGATAATCATTCTGTACAATACTTTCAAGCCAGAACGAAAGCTCTGGGGAAAAATGGGGAAAAACTAAGTTTAGTATTCCATGATTGTTAATTATGGGTGAGTGGCGTGCAATGTACAAAACATATTTATTTTCTAAAAAATTTATTAAAGAAGTTGATGTTAACAAATGGATAGTTACATCAGACGTTGTGCGCACATATTTGAATATCACAAACTAAGCAGCAAAAAAGTTATTGAGATTTATGAAAATGACATTTGCCTTTCAAGATTTCATCAATGTTTGGTTTGGAATAGCTGTATCCAATCAAGAAAATTATTTTCAAATGTTCATGAGTCACTATGGTTTGATGTGTCGACTTCACATGCTTCATTTTTAAAATGTTTGCTGACAGAAATAAGTTGTTCCAAACGCTGATCCCATACCAGCGGCAAAGTTCTTCACTTTCAGAAACTCAACATCAGGTTAGCAGCGGTAAAATTCAACAAGTTTTCCTTCTCTGTGGGTAAACATACGTTTTATCAAGCAAATTCAAGTACTGTCGGCAGGCCAGATGAACTGGCCTCACGGGCTGGATCCGGCTCTCGGGCTGCCGTAGTTTGGAGACCCCTGGTCTAGTGTAAAAAACAGCCAATCAGTTAACTCCCTTAGTCATAATAGGGACTTGATTAGCGATCATTTAGATTTTGTGACCTCTTGGGGGAGCACACAGGTAAATTTGTAAAGATTGGGGGAAAAAAGAATTTTAATATCTCAATGCTCGAGAAAGAATTCCCACTGAACGGGCCAATCTTAAGTATCTGTGATGAAGATGGTGGAATGTATCCATAATTTATTTAGTTTTACAATAACATTTTTTTTCAAATAGTTCTTCAAGTGAAGGATGTTTAGTTTGTGTGATGTTTCTAGCTTTCTTGATTAATCTGTTTAGGTGTTGTTTGATATCAGATGATGAATTCCCACACCAGCAGGTATTATTACTGAAATTAAGTAGGCTTCCAATTGTTGCACTGTAAAATAAGTTAATAACTTGTTTGTTTCTCGAAAATTGTACAGTTTTTGAAGATAGCAAAGTCATGTCATGTTAGCTTATTATAAATTGTGAAACTTAATTACTTATGTCTCTACTTTCTCTATACTTTGATTTTTTATGTTGAGAACTGCAATCTGGTGTTTTCTCCACCGGAAATCGACAACCATTTCCTTTGTTTTTTAGACATTCAGCTGGAGAAAATTTTCATCGCACCAATTGATAAAGCCTGTAACTAAATTGCGGTATAAGCCTTCTCCTTCAGATATTAAGCTAAGGATGGTGGTATCATCAGCAAATTTTATGATTGGAATGGTGTTGCTTGGGCTCTGAATATCATTGGTATTATATTGTAGACAGGACAAGGGAGAGAATGCATCTTTGTGATGCCCTGGTGCATATTTGCATATATCACTACTATATGTATATAATTACATAGCTGTATCTAAGTACCAGATTACCGTAGCATTCTTTTCATTCAAGAGGGCTTTCTGATCTTCCACTGAAGCCTCTAAATCTGCTATTTCTTTTTGTATATCTGTGGGTGCCTTACCAGAAAACTCTTCTTGAAGGAATTTGTTGTAATTTCTTTCAAGTTCTTCTTCTATGGAAAAGGAAGTTGCAATATGCATGATATACTAGTGCATCATCCTTACTAAGTTTGATAATTATTTAAGAAAAACTAATATTTAAAATAAAAATTCCTAAAACTTTGTTGATAAATTACATGCACAATCTGAAATTGTAGGAGCATGTTTCCTATATTTGAATCTTGAAACTTTAATTCTTAACTTTGTGGCTGTCACTGTCATCAAAATGGCATTTATCTTAGTCTATCTCTATCCTTAGTGAAATTATTGGAACGGGATTGAAGATGAATTAATCTTACTCTTTGCTATCATATCAGCATTCTCCTTTTGGACAACCTCAAGTTCTTTCATCAGATCCATTTTCTTGCAATACTCTGAATATGTTCTAATTGAATGCAGAATGATGACACTTTTTTAAAGTTAAAACATTCTTTTCCTAATGAGCTTATGGTTTATAATTCCTACCAGTTAATTCAAAATTCTTAAATTCAAAAAATTACTTAAAATATTTTTGCAATGCTGTGATCAAACTTAAACTTAAATAAGATGCTCAATGGTGGAATTTTGGCACTATAGGAATTTATAAAATTATTTTCAGAGTAAACTGTCATAAAGAACTGTTGTAATTTATGCCATCCCATTCTCAAAATTGTGAGAATTCAAGGCAATAAGTTACTTTTGTGCTAGAGAGCATTCCTCTTCTTTTTGCTTTAGCCTCCACAGTAAATTTTGATTTACTAAAATATTCTCTGAGATCTCTGAAAATATATTCATTAAAATACAAACAGAACATGTTAAAGTTAAAATTTAAAAGAATTTTATTAATAATTAATAAGCACATTAAATGAAAACAATATTTGCAAGAAACTGTATAAAAAATCTTAACAAGTAAAAATTATTTTATAGTAACATCATGGACATTTTAAGATAAAAATTTGTTTCCTCCCTGTAATTATCAAGACACTACCTCTCAAGTACTTTGAAGTTAAATTAATTTATTTTAATGTGTTCCTTGTTGTTTTATGTAGCTAAGGACTTTTTTAATATTTATTTACACCCAGTAAAAAAATGCATAAAATCACCAACAAAATGGTGAAAAAGCTCTTCAACTTCATTTGTCTGAAAGCATTTTGAAACCAGATTTTTTAAACAAAAGAATTAAAATAAACTTTTCAATTGATAAATGCTTACTTGAAAATACAAAAACCAAAATTAAAAATTACCCATATTTACAATGGAAAGCATTTTTTTGAGGATTATAACAAAAATATCAATGACTATAAGTTCCTAACTTTAAAATTGTAACATTGAAAACTACCTAGTGCAGTATTTCTCATCAACATTCTTTTTTTAATTTGTAGAAAATTTTTTGAACAGGCATTTAACTATTGACCTCAAATGTTAAAACCTGGGATTTATAAGTTTGTATTTCATAAATTTTTTATTTAATTCAATGACTTGTATCATAATGGATCATTATGTTTTTTTTTTTTTAAATTAAATGAATAAAATTATGACTGTTAAAAGTGTTATAACTTAGTAAGTTGTAAAAACCACTTAAAAAATTAGAAACTTGTTCTTTCATAAATTTGTGTTACTGGTATAAATTGTATTGGCTAAATATTAAATATGTTCTTTCAACAATGATTCCTTGAAAAATTAGTGCAGTAGCTAATTATAACTAATAGCTATTTCCAAGTTGTAAAATAATTCAGTTATTCTTTAGTTACCTTTCTCTAGCAGTTCAATATGTACTTTGCTCTTGCAACCTTCTTCTTCCAAAGCACACAATTTTGTTAGTAGATTATTTACCTTAACAGTTATACGATCTTTTTCTTGTTTACCTGAAAAAGCAAAGCTTCTTTCATGCCAAAACTTTGATTTATATTTTAACAATTTTTTTCATGAGTCAATGGTTTTAATTGAGAAAAAAATTAGGTATCGGAATAAACGTTATTTTCAAAATTGGCCTCATCCAGTTGTCAAATTCCCTTCCACGATAATACCCCTCTTTATGATAATCCACTATAGAATGTAGTTCTAGATGTGTTTCCTTATTCCCATAAGAACAGTAATAAATAGAATTGCCTGCAATACAATTGAAATGTGGATAAAATGGATAAAATCCTGCCAGTCTATTACACTGAAGTTTCAGAAGCACTGTTTTACTTTTACACAGCATTTCCCCTCCCAGGTTATTATGGTTTATTCTTAGGTTGTGGGAATTTCTTTTCTTTCCTCTTACTCTTAATGAATGTTAAATCATAATTTAAGTTACATGTTTTTTTTATATAAGTTAATAGCTGACAAATTTCAAGTTCTTAATAACTATAGATTAAAAAAAAACTTTTACCCTTATTTAAGTGCAAGATATTATGACCATGATATCCAATACAGTAACTAAATGTATCATATTTAGGTCCAACGGTCAAAATGCCCAATAAAAATAACAAAAGAAATTGAGCTAATTTCATTATGAAGTGTTACATTTACCTTTAAAATATTGTTTCTGAAACAAATAAATACATGATATTAAAATTTTAAATAATGAAATGAAAGAAATAGTATAGGCAAATGTTCTGTCAGTAGACTACCAATCCAAATAAGTCCCATCTGAATTTTTTTAAACGTAATATAATTTGTTTGACTAGGTTTGATATTTTTTGTACTCAAATGGTTGACTTAAATAGTGAAATTCTAAATCCTTTCAGTACACAATACAAAGGTAGTTATTATTAAAAAATAAAGTGAAGTTACTTATTTTACTTAGCATGTTGTTATGATAGTGATAAATGAATTATAAATATGTATTACAATTATTTCAAAATAACTACACTTAGTTAATCTGGATTTAAAAGCGATTAAAAAAATCTCTTGTATAAAAAGTATAATAATTTTATTTAACTGTGTTCTTTTTTAAGTGGATACCCTCCAACAAAACTGTGAAACAAAAACATATATTTCCTTCTAAATGCAGACTTCTGTCCTGAACCTAGTAACGCATCTTTAGACATTCTTTTGCAGACTTAATTATTATGTTAAAAACATTTTAAATGCTTATTAACAATAGATAGAAAAATGATAATGATTATTTGGGTGAGATAAAAATACCAGTATTACTTATTGATTCACTAAGGAACAGAGAGCTTATGGACTAGGGTTCCAATACATTTTTATTTAAGTGCAAATGAAATTATCTTGCCCTAAAAATGCTAAACATTACAGCATATTCTGCTTTTTATCATAAAGAAACATATTTTTTTCAATTATCATGGCCATATTAGTAGAAGATTGTAGGCCACACGTTTTGTAAAGTGAAAAGGGTCTATACTTGGTGTCTAAATATATGAATAGTTAAAAATTAAAATAAATATTGTTGATTTTCTTGAGCTTACGGCATACATGCTAACCTGTAAGGTAAGGTTTACGTTTGCCAAGTTGTAAGGCCATACAGCCTTTTGTACAGTTTTTCACAGGATATAGAAAAGAAATATTTTTGCACAAGGTGCAAGTTCCACACTGCTGGTGCAAAAATTCAACGTTGGAAAACAAGAAACTTAAATCATTTTTATCCGTTCAATATTAATATGACCAACGTATACATTCATATTTATTATTTTTTACTTTTTTTTTTCTGTAGATTTTTCATGCTTTTGTCACTGTTATAAAGATTTTAGGACTTTTTTTACAGTTTTTTTTTACCCCACAACCACAGGTTGGCGTGAATCATAATTGTCTATTACTATCACTCATTAAGTATCACTGTATCAGTAATAGTAATATATTAACTGAACAGTGGTATTTTTTCCAAACATTTTTTTTCCTATGAATTACTTTTAAAATTAAAATAGATACTAGATAATATCAAACAAAATTTGATTTTGGATCTTAGTTTCCCTGTTTGTAGTTTCTTATATAATCTACCATTATTATGGGGCCATTAAAGTTAATCTTAATTAACTTAATTAATTATAATTCAATATAATGTCATTATTAATTTGAATTGTAGGGCGCTAAAACTGAAGTAGGTAGCCATATAGCCTACAGGTTAGCCCCAATACCAGCACTGACATTGAATTCATTGATGATAAAAATGAAATGGTCATCATGGCAGTGGGCGATGGCTGGATTATTCATAAATGTGATTAAGTTTAGGAGAAAACCTCTAAATTCTCAAGAATAGCTTGCAATCTGGCGACTTCTGCTGCATTTTCCTTTCTTGCTTCAGTAAGAGCAGCGACTTGAGCTGGTAAGCTTGTCGTGAGAGTTTCATCAATCATATCCCCATAAATATCTCTACTCGCCATTTCACTTGTGACTTTTCTGTAAAATTTAAATAAAATATACAATTACAGCCTGAATTGCAGTTGGTACGAAGGAGATGTCATTGGCTGCAAATAGAGATAGGTTAATTAGTTAATGGGAAAACATATTTTAAACTGCTAAAGGTAATCGACAGTGAATGCTTCAATTTAGTGTAAATTATGCCGCGAAGGATTAAGGAAAATTTCAAAGGAAAAATACATGGACTATTTAATTTTAGAAACGTTGCTATAGTGGTGTAGCAAGAGTTTTTGGCGCAATGGGCGGTCCTTACTATACTATATATGTAATGGACTTATGGAAGTAAACAAAGAGCCTATAAATCTCAAAGTTTATTTTCCCCTTGGAGAATCTTACAATTACAATACAAACAGTTCTCATGTCATAAGGCTAAGCCGCGCTAGTACTAGTTGGTAAAAATGTATTTTAAGAACAAAAGCTCAAATAAAATAATAAATAAAGTAGTATGAGTTGTTTAATGCTGGAGAGAATACGTAAAATAATGCTATAAAAACAAATTTCCATTACTGTGGATCAATAAAAGAATCGTATTCTTCTAATTTTTAAAATTATAAATCTAATTCACAAAAGCCATAATGTTTCATTTACAAAATGTAGCCTCCATCAAAGATCGGCTATATAAAAGCATATGAATGAAATAAAAGTACTCAGCCTTCACTTTAAAAAAAGGGCCTGCCAGGCAGACAGTTTCCTCCACCCCTCGTTCTATTCCAGTATGTTCATAGTTTGTAATCAAGTTTTAAATATCAAAAGTAACTTATAAATTGTGCTACAATAGACCTGTTGCATTTCACATGATGTGGCATAATGCGCAATATCCCTCAATCTAATAATGGTTTCTAAAGTCGTAACATTCATAATCACAAAGATAACTAATATTGCGCAGATGACAATGTGATGCTTCCAACGCTGGCCCGTAGACTAAGGTGTTTGTGTTGGCAAACTCAATGACCACTCACTCGGAAGGGCAAAATCAATGATCACTCACTTGGGGTGGCAAACTCAGTGAACCACTCACTGGGGGTGGAAAACTCAATGACCACTCACTCGGGGTGGCAAACTCACTGAATCACTAACTCGGGGTGACAAACTCAATGACCATTCACTCAGGGAAACCAAAAGTCTAGATACACCACTTGTTCAACGCTGAATTTCAAACTGCAGGTCAACTTTCATTAAGCAATGTCAAAAAGAGTCCAGCTCACGATCAACTTTAAGTTTAAATAAGTAAATCTAATTAAACAGCCCCTAAAAACAGCAAAGTTTTTGGTATATCCTTTATAAGCATTTTTAAATTAATTTATTTTTTCGTAATATTCTAACTTCCCAGATGCTTTTACACCGCAGATTTAGTTCACCAACTATTTCAGAAAACAAAAGAAAATATTGCGCACCAAACGCACTTGCAATTGATCTTTTGGGGGGTTGGGTTAGGAGGGTGGGGATGAAAATTAGATAAAATGTGTTACCATCGCAACAAGTTTATGTGTCAAGTTTCAGTGCGATGGGATGACGAAAAGCGGGTCAATTTCCCGTCCGAAGATTTTGTCATATACACACGTCCAAAAGCGAAGTTAATATAATATACGAAGTGGCTATTCGTACCCGGGTACCAGCAGTGAGAGGTTGGAATTAAAAATCAAAATGGACCCGGACAAGCAGCGCCGCCATTCGCACCCGGGTACCATTAGACTCAAGCTATTCGAATGTCATTTGTTTTAGTTTATTTTAGTTAAGATGAAGAATTAAGTTTACAAACATATAGTCCTTTCAATTATCTTTCATTTGATACGCCATTCTGTCTTACAAACCCAACAATACAATTTTTTTTAAATAGTTTTTTAATCCCAACCTCTCACTTCTGGTACCCGGGTACGAATAGTCGCAGCCATAAATCTATGTTGCTATGCAAAAAAGAAATAAAAAAAATAAAAAGTTTTATTTTTTGTAAGCGAAGATTTTAGCTCACCAAGACAATATAATCTAAGTCTAGCTTAACTGTTCAATGATTCAAATATAAACAGTTATCCACTGTGTCTGGTCTGGCTACGCATATCCTTTGGGTTTTATTAAGACGTTGGATTTGCATGGTAGCGACGCAACTGTCAACGGAGTGTGTTCTTAAAATCGATGCCAACCGCTGAAAAGCAGAGTAGGGGGTTGGGTGGGGGCGGTGCACGCACATGTGCGCTCACGGCTGCTTTCGTGGCCAGTAGAGTTCAACTCAGATATTTAAAAAACAACAGTATCTTGGGCTTGCATGAGTACTCATTCGTCATTTTTTAAAGATATTTTGAACTGGTTCGTAGAAATGATTTTTTCACACATTTTAGTGGTTTATGAATACCCGGTACTTGAATAGCCTATATATATATAAAGTGAAATGAAAGAAAAATAAAATGATTCTATGTTTAAATTATTTAATTTTTACTTTGTCATTTTAAAACTGACTGAACTTTAACATAAATGTGTTGTGAGGAATGGAATCTAGTTTCTGTTTGGATATGTGTGTGTGATGTGCTCTATTTTGGTGTAAAGGAGTGATGACATTAAACACTCCATTGTGGAAAAATTCATGGTTCACTTTCAGGGTTTTTCCACTTTTTCCACAATAGAAAACATACGCATGTATTTAAAAAGTGTATACAGGATACCGGTACTTGATTACATACCGGTACTTGATTACATACCGGTACTTGATTACATACCGGTACTTGATTACATACCGGTACTTGATGACATCTCAGTGATAAAACCCCTCTTACTTTTAATGGGGAAACACGTAACGTTTTTTTCTCTTTCTTTTCTGTTTGACGTAGAGTACTATGTCTTTTTTTTCCCGACCAATTTGTGAATATGTTGTTTCAAAATGATATAGAGAACTAAGAAATGTTTATTTTGTACCTCCTATCAAACTCTAGGCCCGTCTTCGCTTAAATCATGACGTTAATTGAATGGTGTGTGTGTGTGGGGGGGTTGTTTTAGAAATAAACAAGAATATAGTAGGCCTATACCTTTCTAAATGGTTTGACAGTGCTTAAGGAATGGTCCCCGAGTACGTGGTCCGTGTTTCAACCCTTGTGGTGACGCTCCTCGCCCTAACGGCAGCCGTGGAAAATGAGCAGTCCGGCAGAGCGGAGGATTTCGATATCAAGCAGGTGGACAAGAAAAAAATATACGGTGGGAAGGAGATTGCGCCACCCCCAGAGACGTGAGTAGAGATTGTCCACTTACAATGACAATGATAGCCGGAGTATGTTTTCATTTTTTTAAAATTACTATTTTTTTTTAACTAACAAAAAAAGGAATGGAACATCAAATGGCATAAAATTATTCAAGCGTAAAAAATACAAATCTTCATCAAATGATCTAAATGCGTTGATATGTTTAGGAAATATTATCATTTGAAAAAACGTTTGTCGTTTTAACGTGACGCTCAGAATTCATTCTTCATTTATCGGCCCCAGTGGCGTACCTTGACTAAATGGCACCCTGTGGCGAACTACTAACGCACAGTATTTATATGTTTTTGTTTTTTTTTTAAACCCAAAAGAGCCGCCCGGGATGGACGTCCCGTTGTCTCTCCCCAAAGTACGCCGATGATTACACGTGCTAGTACGGACATAGGACGCTTTAATAAATCACCCCACATCAAAAATATTATTTATTATTTTTTTGAAGGTGCATCTGCGAGAGAAAATATAGAGTGAAAAAATACGAAATGCCCCAAAATGAGATCGAATAAGTTAATCTTTGCAAAAAAAAATAAATAATGCGAAATGTTTATTATAACCAGAAAATAAACTATTTCTTATGACCTACATTCACCATAAGTCATACTTTACATGTAAGGGACAGACACGTGTTTTAAAATTGACAGTCTGATAACTTTTGTTGTTTTGTGTATAAAGAGGCTTAATTACACCCACGATGAAAATTCAACGTGAATATTTCCTTAATATTTCCTTACTGTTTCCTTACTGTTTACTTTAGCATTCTGTCCAGTGTGAGCTTTAAATACCTTACATTACTTTATAACAAACAATACGCTACATTACCAAATTATTTCTGGACGTTGTCCTTAAAGTTGATTGCAGGCTGTATATAAATCTATTCAGCATTCTTTAAGTTTTGACATTATAATTATTATTTGATGTGATCTTGTGCTGTTTATATATATATATATATATATATATATAAATATATATTTGATGTTGTCAGATTAACTGTCACCGAGGAGGTATGGATGGACCTGAAGATCAAAGATTATTACTTACATTCCCAAATTATTTCTGTACGTTGTCCTTATAGTTTATTGCAGGCTGTATATAAATCTATTCAGCATTCTTTAAGTTTTGACATTATAATTATTATTTGATGTGATCTTGTGCTGTTTATATATATATATATATATATATATATATAAATATATATTTGATGTTGTCAGATTAACTGTCACCGAGGAGGTATGGATGGACCTGAAGATCAAAGATTATTACGGTGAGGGCGAAGATTACGTTGGCCGCGTGACCTTCGCTTGTTTTGGCAAGCTGACCCCCATAACGTGCCTCAACTTCATTTCACTGGCCAAAGGATACAGGAGAGGCAGGGTAGGTTGGCAGTAATCTGAAGATCAGGGCCCTGCAGCCGTGCGCGGCAGGCGGAGGCTGCTGCTTAGAAGCTGCTCCCACAGTGAAGCTTGAACTTAGGAGCCCTCTTTGTTGTGATCTAGATTTAGGAGCGTGAATGTTTGGTAGGAAAAGTTAGCAAACAGTATAGGCCTATATATTAATGCACATATTTTGCATGAAAAATAGTTACGATTTTCGGCGCCCTCTGAAGATGGCGCACTGGGTGAGTGCCACCTTCACCCCCCCCCTTTTTTTCCCCCTTCACATGGCCTTGTTCATGAGTTAAACGCTGTTGGTGGCACAGATAGTAGAACAAGGTAAGACTATGTGGACAATTGTCCTGTCTTTCGATTCAAGCTTCCACATACCTTGCTCTACTATTTCCTTCACACAGCTTGAACGCGGCCCTTCATTTGTTATCCTTAATTCTCTCGTGGTACAAACGCACTTTTTGTTCTGCGGACATGAAGGTGAACTCCCCCCTCCCCCCTCCCCCCTCCAACTCATCTCTCTCTCTCCCTCTGTCTATTTATATATATTATATATATATATATATTTGAGCTTAATGCCAGTGTGTTGTGACTGGTGTCTCTTCTAACACGAGGGGTAACACACTGTAGCAGAATCAATCGCGAATCTTAAAAGAGTTGGTTAAACATTGACTACAGCTGTGACTGCCAAGATATTGACATGGAGGAGTACAGCGCTATAACCAAGAACATTCGCTACTTGAAAGTTGTCGTGTGGACCGCACTGTGTGGCACGTGTGCACCTCCCCCAACCCCACCCGCCCCTAACTTTAAACTTAAAAGTTCGCGTCCAGTTGCGTGAAGTTTCATTGAATGTGATAAAGGCAGTCGGGGAAAAAAACTTAAAAAAACCACAACACTTTAAAAAATACAAACATTAATTACACCTTAAATTGGGTTATAGTTATATAGGCCTAATATACATTTTTGGTCCGGGATTGGGGGTGGGGGGTGGGTTGTGATCGTAAATATATGTAACTGCACTGCGATAATATTGGGGGACACGTGGGTCTTTTAATCTATCAAGATAATCTTCATCAATCAATCTAATGCTCTAGGTGTGTATGGCGTAATGGTGAGTTCAATAGCTCGCAAAATAAAATTCCCGATAACTGCGGCTAAAAATACCGCAAGTGCGTACTATTTTATTAGACCTATGTTTTATGAAAATGCTCAATTAAAATGTTGTGTAATAAATCTGCGGATGTTAAATGTGGGAATAACTACTCTCGGGGGGTTGGGGGGGGGTGGGATTTACTACTCTCATAGAAAAGAGTTTTAGAATGTTAAGAATACTCTTTCACATTATTTATGGAACAATACAGAAACTATCAATCTATCTCCCTAGAAATGTATGCAATATCACCGTGTAGGCTACCTGTCATTATAGACATGAGTACAAGAGAAAAAAACTATCGTTGACATATTTTTCATTTAAAAAATATTATTAAAACGTACCACGAACTATGCACACACACACACACAACTAAAAAAAAAAATAAAAAAATTATAAAGCCCCAATTGTTTGGAAAAGAGGAGAAAAGAAATGGGTTGCATAATAAAAGTCTTTCTTTAAACTTAATGTTCTTATTGCACCAAAGTAGGGAGTGAAAACAATAATCGGAGAAATAATGAGCGCCATAGCTACTGCTAACTAAAAGTTTTCCTAACTGTTAGCTATCTCCCTACTCCACAGAATATTTTGAACTACAAAGGAAGCAAAGTTCAGGCCATTGTGCGGGATTTCATGATTCAGCTAGGGGAGGTAACCACAAAAAGTACCAGTGGTGAGTACCGTTATAAGAGAGCTGTAAATTTATCAAATTAAAAAAAAAAAAAAAAATTCCACTCATTCGTTTGGAAGAAATTGTACTCTGTTGTCTTTAGCAACTTATTTGGTAGGGTTAAAATTCAAAACCTGTGATAAATTCTCATCTTTTAAAATATATTTTGAAATTTGAATTTTACAAATCAACTTCCAATTTCGTATAGAATATAGGCCAATATAGCCTATAACGCAGTTTCACACTACCATATCAATATCAACTGTACAAAAAGTACAGTGTTAAATGCTACACTAAAATCACTGTTGCCAGGTGACAGTATTTACGGAACCAGCTTTCAGGATGAGAGTTTCGCCATTAGTCACAGCAATGCAGGTTGGATTGGCATGGCCAACTTTGGACCGGACACAAATGGCTCTCAGTTCTACATCCTTCTCCGGTCTGCCAGATGGCTTGATGGAAAACACGTTCTGTTTGGAAAAGTCATTCGAGGAATGGTAAGTAGTAATTATTGTAATATCCAATTAGATTGTTAAATCATTTAAACCCAAGCACTACTTATAAATTACTGGGAAAAAAACCCAAACTAATTGGATATTTAAATTGTTCCTATATTAAGCCAAGGCGAGGTCAGGAACAAGGAACGTTTTGTTATAGGCCTACTTATTTTTTAACTCTTAAATCCAAAAATGCCAAGATTATCAACAGTCTTAGATTTGATCATAAGCGTCAGCTTATATTCCAGTTCTTCCAGTAATAATCAACACATTTTGTAACATGTGATTCTATAAAGCTCTTGTACATTTTCGAGTCAAATAATTTCCAATGAAGTCAGCCATTTTCATTAGTTAACATCAGCCTTGCCAAACCGTTAATGTTTCAGGATGTTGTTGAGAAAATAGGACAGGAGGAGACAGGCAAAGATAACACCCCCTTACGAACGATCACAATCGATAACAGTGGTGTGGTAGGGCTCAAGGCATCATATCAACTGACAGCAGCACAGTTCAATACAGATGGCGATATTGACACTGAAAGTGTTAGACAATGAATGTTCAGAGATTATAAATTGAATTCATTAACCAAGTTTTGTTACATGTTTTGAGAGTCTTTTTTAATGTGCTTTTTGTGTGATTTTTAGAGCTGTGAAAGACAATGAAATTAGTAATTATTATTTCAAGTAAAAAAGTAATGCAAGATGTGAATTTAGGTTCTTCCCATCAAATGTGCAATGTTTTATTATTAAAAAAAAAAAATTGTATCAGTATTTTCAGTGTAACCCAGTCTTATTCTAATTTTTGTGTGTGTTAATATAGGTAGTTAATATAGGTAGTAAGTGTTTTAGAATGGTATTGATTTATTACAATCATCTACAGGTACTTAACACGGGTTAATTTACATTTTAAGACAACTTTAATTTGTAAAAAATATTTGGTCTATAAAGTTAAACATGATATAACTTTAATTAACTTGTTTGTAATCAAATCTTATTTGATGGAAAGTAGACATTTTAACTGAATATTTGATCAACCTTAAATTACACTGAAAATACATGTTAACTTGGAATAAAACTATTCTAAATTAGTGAGTTGGTCATGGTTGTATTGTTACACTGTAAAAAAAAAAGATCACAAAATGAAATATTTTCACATCATTTAATCCAATCCATTTGTGAATTCTATAATTAAAAAAATGTCATTTCCCTCTTCAACCGTGTCATATTTTATTTGACTTTAATTCATTTTTTTTTAAACATTGACATAAAAACATATTTGCACAGGATTCTAAAACATTAAAAATAACACTGAAAGCAAAACATATTTCACTGTATCTTTACAACCTCAAATGCAATAACATTGTAAAGTTAAATTAACAATTTTCAAATATATTGGTGCACTAATTGTTCTGTCTTTCAACACCCTTTAATTCCATATAGTTGACATCTGGAAAATCCAACTACTTATAAGTTGAATTAAAGGTTGGCCTATATTTCAAATGTAAATGTTAAAAAAAGTAATGAAAGGTAAAACATAAGTTTTAGGCAATACCTGGGCAATTGACACAATTTTTAAGATACCTTTGATTAAACAATTAACTTAAAAAGAAAACAACCTAATCATTCAAGCCCTTCTCAAAATAACAAAATAAACATGAATATTGTTATTAAGCTTCCACATTTTCTTCAATATATACTTTTTTTTTAAAATAGCTATCTTGCTGTTTATTTTCTGCTGTCTGTTACAGAGCTCACTAAAATTTATTTTAGAAGAATAAAGAATTTATAACAGACATGGCTAACACTGATTTAGTTCCCTTGCTGTTATTTTAAAGAATGAGGTAAAACAAATAATAATGGAGTAAATCATGTGAACATTGTTGGCCAGTTATATCATTTAAAAGATGTGGTAAAAAAAAAATAAAAGAGTGAATAAATTTAGAGAAATGAATTTAGAAAACAATTTAGGGATGGTTCATTATCTCAACAGTTTCTTGTGTCTGTATAGATTTTGTTTCTAAATTTTTAATTAAAATTAAGGCTCAAGAAAATGTGCAAATTATTTGACAAAATTTACTGATTGACAACTAACAACAATTATTGAGATGGTTGGTAAAAAGCAAGCTATTTGGTACAAAGTATGATTGACAATAATTTCATCACAATAAAGGTTTTATTTTAAAAATAGAAATACAATAATTGCCCGCTTTAAAAAACAAATAGACCAGTGGTTCTCAAAGTGGTGGTACAATACTCGGTAGATTTAGCTGGGGGCGCTGGGACTGCTTAATAGGGTGGTGGTGGATTGTATCAGAAAACCTTATTTTAAATTTAAATAATTTAAACTAACAACAATTATTTAAAAATAATCAGATAAATGACGGCTTTGAAATTGAGTCTTGACTAGACATCAGTCAAACAATACAAGGAGCTATTAGCAACAAGAAATATTTACTAGGTGAGGTGTAATCAATTTACTGTAGTAAAGTTGGGAATGCCCTTCATGGAGGAGACAACATATTTTTCTACACATTCACTGGACACAGAAATAAAATCATGAGGTTCATTTACTCTGGTGATACTGGTAAATATTACTGGATGTTATGAATGTTAGTTTCTCAAACAAGAATATTTATTTTCAAATGTGGAGGGCAATGGGCCAGAGAAGGTCATCATTGTACTGACAGTTTCCAACTAGTATTATTTAATTTTATGTCTCTATTTTCAAGTATGTTTATCCATCTTGTTCATTCAGAAGTGAAATAAAATGTCATTTTTATAAGGGAGACTCGTGCGACTGGCGATAAGTTTGACTACTAATAAATTAACGAAAGCTTCACCATCAAGGACAGATTGTTACAGCGGTTTTCTTTCTTTTTTTAAATCATAAAAGTACCTAAGTATCCATACTTTTTATTGTTTCTTTCAAGCCACGTCTGGTGGATAAAAACTGAAAGTTTTATTGACTTTCACAATGGAAGTGTTCAAGTCGCTCGTACAAGCTATTTGAAACTGGAATTAGTTTAAAAGACAAATACTTCTTTCAGTGTGGACCTCAAAGTCATCAGATGAGACTAAGCTTTGGCCAGAAGTATTAGCAGATTTCAGTGAAATCAATCTACATTTTTTGGGAGATGGTGACAATCTTATTAAAACCAAATGCATACCTGTATTTTACGGACTATAAGACGCACATTTTTCTTCGAAAAATTGCCTCCAAAATTCAGGTGCGTCTTATACTCGAAATTATTATAAAAATGGTAAAAATGTTACTCTTAATAAAAATTGCTTAAAAATTAAGGTGCGTCTTATCGTTCGTAGAGTCTTATAGTCCGTAAAATATGGTACTCTACTTGAATATTTAAATTGAACTCAGCTCATTAGTGATATTGGCTAATAGCAAAGCCCATCTGACATCCAAAAGAAAAAGGGGAGAAGGGTACAAGATGATAGTGGTGTGACTAAAGTTGGTGTTACCAAGTACGGTAAAACCATGGTGCCAACCTCCTCCTTTTCAGAATGCCTCATGGGCCTCACTGATTCTGCCTGCTCTGGTGACACCCGGCTCTGGTGACACCCGGCTCTGGTGACACCCGGCTCTGGGCTCTGGTGACACCCCGCTCTGGTGACACCCGGCTCTGGTGACACCCGGTTCTGGTGACACCCCGCTCTGGTGACACCCGGCTCTGGTGACACCCGGCTTGGTGGCAATGTTTTTTTTGTTTGCAACCTGATCTGATGTAATCTTCTCTTGAGGCATCCTGCTGTGATGATAGCCTGCTCTGTCTGGTGACATCTTGTTCTGGTGCCAACATGCAATGTGGGCAAACCTGGTCTTGTTGTACCCTCGTGGCACCCTGATCATTTAATTAGCTGAGTTCTGTTTTGAAATGGACTTGGGCAAGCATTGTCATATTTTCAATTTTCCATTGGGTGTCACCCCTATGAGGGTGTCATCTAGTGCGGTCCCCACCCCCTATTGATGCCAAATTAAAGTTTGAGAACCCCTGACACAGACAATTGATTTATAAATGCTTTGGATGCTACATAGTGGTTATGTTACACCTAAATCTAGTTAATCATGGTTTTAAAGCATAAGAATGACATGATTGAATCAATGCAAGGAAATTTGTGATCAAAGTGATTTAAACAAACTTAAAATCATATATTTAAAAACAAATAGTATCTTATAAACAGAAGACAAAAGAGTAATAGATCTATACTGGAAATGCGGGCTCAGAATTGTATGGCGCTAATTCTTTAATGAACACACAAATATATTTCCTTAAACATCCCTCAATGGCAGAGTAGAAGAGTAGAGTACAATTGATAATCACTATGACAAAAGATCTCAATTTTCATTGTCACATCTTGTTAATCATGGACCAACAACCAACCATGAATCAAAATATTCTGGCTTCCTACTCCGCCATCCTCTGATATAATGCCTCTAAATATAATATAATAATAAAATAATCCAATTTTTTTATAGAGTCTCTGTTAAAATGATAGAAAAAAGAGTAAGACATTTGCCTATGTACTTGGGTAATATTGTGGGGGCAGCTGGGTCTGTAGGCCTGAGCCGACAGAGTTCCTCTGCAGAATCATCACAGGAGAGAGACCAGAGTTGGGGCCTGAAGGTGAATTAATCCCTCCTGCCTGAGTTGCAGGCAGAGAGCTGATCCCAGATGAGCTCACGCCTGGCTGCACGTGCCCACCTGGCTGCTGATAGTTGCTGGGGTAGCAACCCGTCGTGCCGGTACTTTGCTGACCAACCTGAGCTAGTGTTGAGCCTGGATTATGACTGACTGGGTGTATGAGGGATGCACCATCCTGGCAGTGAGCTGGACTGCTTGCACTGCTGTTGGAGCTCTGGTTGGTGTTGGTTGACAAGGCCGGGCTGGGACTGGACTGGGAGATTTCACTTCTGTCTCTCCCATTATCACTGTGGTCTTCGCTGGCACCTGAACTTTCAGACCTGGTGCTGTTGGGCTTATCTTTCTTGCCCTGCTGCTGCTGTTTTTGCTGGGGTCTTTGACTCTGCTGGCCGCTTGGTTTTTTTTTGCCTGCCGACTGTGGACGTCGTAAATGCATGGTATCCCACAACCTCAACAGCTCCATGCCAGTTTTTGGTTCTATTTCCTGTAGAGGAATAAAATCTTGATTAGCCAAAATTACAATTTTACAAAATCATTTATTTAATTTTTAAAATTGGGAGTCTAAAATAACTCTCCTAACCTTTTCTTGCAGTCTGAAAAATGATTGGGGTCACAACTGATGAGAGTCAATGGTTCAAGATATTTGAACATGTATTGAAACCTTTGTCCTCTTAATTTTAAGTAACGAACAGTTGTTGAAATCACAAGATTAATATACAGAATATTTTTCAGGGATTCTCGCTTTCTTTTGCTAGTTTTCCCTAAATTTAACAATCTGAATATGTTGAAAAAATTAACTTTAGCCAAATTATGCCTCACCACTTTTCACAGTTTTTTCTATTCCCCCCCCCCCCCCCCC